CGCTACCCCTGATCCCCCGGCGCCGGTTATAGTCTCGAGTAACCGATAGCGTGTCCGACTTCCCAGTCCACCACGAACTCGTAAATATGCGCTGAGTTTCGCTCAGCGAGTGCCTTAGCCCTAGGTGGCGTTCATGCGTCATGAGGATGCAGAAGGCGATAGCCACAGGCATCGCCATGATGATGAAAGTCCAGCTAATCCAGGCCGTGTTGTGAACCGTCAAGAAGCGCGCCTCCCGAATTAGGTATACGGGGATGGGAGCCGCAATCGAGAGGATAGCTATTAGCGAGATGGTCACAGGGAAGCCGAGAGCGGACGGCCACCAATTGAGAGAGTATAGGTTGAATACTTTGGTTATCCAGATCAGGGCCGTCAGGTTGTAGAAGCCATAGTAGACGAAGAGGAAGAACCAAAAGTTGACCTGTACGCGCGCCTTGCCGTGACCGGGCACTCGGTGCTTAGAAGAAGGGTCTAGTATGGTATCGGGATGGCTATGAGGTCTCGTATGGCCGTGCGAGTCGGGCGCGAAGGAATATTGCGGGAATGGAATCGCGCACCATGCTACCGCCTAGAAAGATCGTATAACATGTGCTCGTTAGCCCATATAATCGTAGTACTTATTCCTGAACTCCCTTGCAAGTGTCCATGCCTCTTTCAAAACAAACCGTCGTAAAGTAGAAAAGCAATAAAATAGAACGAACAAGACAAATCGCAAACTTACCAAAGCAGCAGGCAAGAACACCAGAACCCCCCAGCGACTCCACCAACTCTCAACCACGCGCTTGACGGCCGTCTGCCGCGGCGCTACCCACAAGTCCCTGACACTCCGGCGAGAGGCCCGCGCAAACCGGCGCATCTTCCTCTTCGCCGCATACCCACATCGTCGATTATCATTATCATTATTACTATCGTCGTCATCACTGGCATCGTCATCATCATCGTCGTCGTCGTCAAGCCCGACAACTAACGCGCCGTACCCGACGTGCACGCTGCCGCGGCCACCGGGAGACAGGAGCCCGATATGCTGCTGTGGCGGCTGCCGGGGCACGGCGCGGAAGCGGCCGAGGAGCGGAGAGGAGTCGCTTGCGTGTTGCCGTGCGGCGCGGCCGGTCTCGGTGCCCGGGATGAAGGGGAAGAATTCGGGCATTGGGTTGGGTTTGGTGTGTTTGGTTCGGTCAGCCTGGTCTGGTCTGGTCTGGTCTGGTCGGGGTCTGTTGTGTCGACCTGGACTATGGGCTAGCCCTGCTTGGGCTTAGGAGAGTGCTATTCCGGGCCGTGTATCCCCCTTTCGTTCTTTGTTTCCCCCTCGTCTTACTTTACGTCGTACCCCTCCTCCTCCTAACCCTTTCTCGCTATCTCTTACCACTGCTACCACTACCCGGTCCCCCTTTATCTTTGTGGCGTTTTTATTTTTATTTTTATTTTTATAGTTTTGTTTAGTTTCACTCGCTCCCTCTCGCTCTTACTTGCGGTGTGGATTACGCTGGCGTCGGCGGCTTTGGAATCAGGATTGGAGTTGGAGTTGGAGTTCGAGGGGAGGCGGCGCACATGGCGGGTTCAGGATTATGTCTGGACGGGAGGTGAAAGAGCGGGTGGGCTGTGGTGAGCTGGCACAAAGGTCGTTGATAAGGCGGAAAGTCCGGAGAGAGGTGGGCGATGAGGCGGGCCGCTCTTTTGTTCGCTTTGATGAAGGTCAGATCTTGATTATGTGAGCCAAGGCGAGTTTGTGAAGTCTTTAGGTAGGAGAGCTCGCTATTACACTACTGTATGTAGGTAGGTAATGGAGGCGAGATGGTCGTTTCTCGGGACTCGTGATCTCGGCACGCTGCAGGCCGGATTATGCGTCCGCTGCGTGCGTGGTTGGTTACCTTAGGTAGGTATGTGCCTTACTTTTACTACCACTACCGCAGGCTCTGCTTTTCCCTACCTATCCTTACGGCCACAAGGAACCCGTATGTAGGGTAAGTATGTGTTGCACCCCCAGCACGTGTAGAAGCGAGCGGCGGAAGGGAGAGAAGCAAGGGTGTACCTTGGAGAGGGGAGGGGGAGGTGGGCTTAATGCTAGATACCTAGGTAGGTAGATGGACGGCGCAGGATGTTATGTAACGGAGCTTACATTACATAGCATACCATAGCATACCATACTACATACTAGGTTACGTACCTAACCTAACCGTACCTAAGATATGTAAAACAGGCTCCGGAGCGGAAGGGGAAAAGAGAGAGACAGATAATAGGAAGAGGAGGAAGAGGAGCGAGTGCAACTTCGTGCATGTGGATTCAATGTTGGTTGCTGCAAGGAAGGGAGCGCGTGACGATGACGCTACGTAGGTACGTACAATTTACAATTACAATTATATACATTGCATGCATGTATGCGATTAAATAAGAAAGAAAGAAAAAAAAAAAAAGAATGGATCCCTGTCCCTGCGAATAAGAAGCTCTTGTGGGGCCCGTCTTGGAGATTGATATGATTGATGTAACTACATGTATTCCTAATTCCTTTTTTTAACTTTTAACTTTCTTCTTTTGTTTCTATTTTCGCGAATCAGGTAGCCTGCAAGTCGCTTTTCTGCCTTCCTTATCTGTAGCGGCCGCTGGATATCTATATAGGTACGTATCTTGACGGAATTACCATTTGAACTAATACGTGTAGGCTTAAATAGGTAGTATTTTTTTTTTTTGTTGTCTTACATAGGTACCTAGGTGCATATGAGCTTGACGATGGCTTCTTTGCCTGTTTCTGTTTCTCCGGGATGAGGCATGTTATGCTCCGGTCTTACTTTGGGTTGATGTAATATGATGATCTAGGCAACTCCAAATTTTTGATAGCGCAGGGCAAGGTAAGGTAAGGTAGCTTTTTATGTATGTATGTATGTATATATGTATGGGCGGAGATTACGTCGTTGCTACTTTACTTTTGACTTACTTAATCGGTGGCTGTGGTTTGGACTACATACCTACATATAACGATAAGCCAAGATGTCAGTATATACTATGGTAGAATGGTAGAATAGGCATAAAGTGTGTGATAGGACACTACCCGTTGTTAATGTCACCATGCATAATATTATACTCGCGAAGTTAAGTAAGAGTGTATAGGAAAGTCATTGGAGGCCTTCGGTGAAGGAGAAGTGAGATAAGAGTTTGTAGTAAATTCATATTAATGTCTTGAAATGTATTATTTGGGGGCGATTATTCTATAACCGCGGCTTAACTCAGAAACGCCATTGGTATAAGCTATAGGTAGATAACTATAAGCTATAACTACATGTAATTAGCAACTATATTTTATAGTGGGGGGTTTATTGTAAAAAGAGTGATAAAATGTCACAGTCTCGATGATAATATTATTAGCTCAATAGAGCTTTTCATCTCGGGCCAGTGGACCTCGTGAGACTTGTCAATTAGAGTAAGGAAATCGTCGTATGCCTTCTATAATATGACCTCCAAGTCATCGACTGCTGAATATAACATTGACTTAAGGCCGAATTGGCGCCGCGCCACTACTGTTCTTCACGACGTTGGTTACACAAACTGTCTTCTGCTGGTCATCGATTGACGGAAGCCTTATATCAACGTGGGTTTATTGTTTAGAAGAAGTAGTTATCATTGGTTAACCTGGCTGATGACCACATCTGCCTACGGGAAAGCAATCATAACTAAAGTATTACAAATCCTAGATAAGCTATATGAGTAGTTAATATGTTACACGAGCCTTGTTATAGTAGAAAATATTCCATAACAATATGTCCTTGTGTAACCTAGCACAACATGATCGAAACTAACAGGAACGCCAATGAGAATAGCGTCTCTACTAAGCTCAAGGGTTACAGATATAGTCAAGATCATGATAGTTATATGAATATCCATTGGTTAAGTCATAATGTAGGTCAGCAGAAGAGCCACATAAGCTTGAGATTGACAGCACATGTCTCTCGATATCTCAAATTCGATTCTTTAGCAAATAGCGGTGGTTTTTAACAACGCCACCCCGAGCGTGACCCGAAGGAATGGCACGCAAAGACTTGTCACCGCTGACTTAGGTGCTTTCCTAACTATGGGCTATTGTTAAACCGATCTCCTAATCTTACTTACCCGTGGGGTGACGAACTCAAGAAAATCATGGTGCTTACGCCCTGTCATCTGTGGAGTGATCACGAAGGATAAGCTTCCGCGGGATTACGACCGGTGCTTAGGCGAAATCTGAGACGCCATAATCTGTGCATACTAGACTAATAAATGATGTACTTTAGATACGAGATCATACCTATCCCTAATTAGATTAAAAAAAGCTCTTCACGTAGGTCAGCGACGAAAGCGGAATATGATATGAACAATGATTGGTAGAAAAATTATAGGTATGTAATTATGTAATAGCTCATTACAACCCTGATGTCGTCTAAATAGGCTTGCCTCAGACGAAAGGAGGCATAACAGTAGGACGCCACACACGTAAGCAAGCAACCTCCGCCTAGACCTGCCAGATATTAAGGTGGATTAGGGGGGTTTAGTATCTTCCGAGAACAAAAATAACATGAATCGCCAAGGAGTCGATACACCTTGGGTCAGTAGGTGGGATCGTAAGGCTGAGTGGGGCTCCATAGACAGATGCTGATGAGATTGTGCTATTGTGTAACAGATGCTGCGTATGCTGAGCCCGTCGATATGGGATGTGAGATCTTCAACCGGTGATTTGGAATTGCATACGCCTCCCGACTTTCTCCACTTGTTTTGTAGCCTTATCGAGCCGGACCCCTGGGCGTATGGCTAAATAGGCTATCTCACCTCCGACTTCTAAATAAGAAACGCGATGATGATAGACAATCATTCATGTAAAAGATGAAGTTCCAGGCGAAAGGATACGGGTTTCGTGTCTTAACCAGCGCTCATTGTTGTGTGCTTGGGGGCGGTTAACGACCTACTGCTTGAACCGTAGGCTCTTCTAGTCTGGTAGGATTGTGTTGTACAGAGGTTCCATGTGCCACCGAAATCGATGATTAGTCGTCGAACCCTTCCTCCACCCCGGCCTCTTCTTCTTCGTATACTTCCGAGTCATTATCTTCAGGAGAATCCGATGCCGCTGACTCGAGCTGTTCCTCTCGTGTTGGCTGTTGAAATTCATGAATGGTGTCATCATTATCATCTGAGGGATCGGGACCGGATTTCTCGTCATCGATAAACCCCACGTGTTTCGTGGCTGGTGCCGATGACTTCGGTTGTTCTTCTAGAACATCACCGTTCCATGGTTTGCACTCCTTTACCAGATCGCCACACCGTAAACAAGTCCAGCCTTCGCCCTCCTCACGCTCCAACCTGGTTGCAATGCATACAAAGCAATATATGCAACCACATGGGATCGTCTCATATGGATTCGTGATATCCGTCTGCGTCGAGCCTACAACTCCACTTGAGGCGGCCGCGGCCAAAACTTCGGTCTCTGAGACAGCCGAGTTTTGATCCTGGTAGCAAATAGCACATGTCCGCTCGGGTAGAAACGCAAAGTCGCCTCGCTTCTCGTTGACATCACCCTCCTTGCTGACATTGATGATCTCTTTGGTCTTCCTCCATGTGCGACCAAGCCACCTACGCCATCTATTAATCCCTACTAAGGGTAGGACGAAGAGTAAGAACTCGGTAAATGCGTGCCATACTAGTTGTCGGTTGAGGTACTCGAAAGAAACTTCACGACTAACTTGACTGGTGGGTGGAGCTAGCCGCATTCTTAATACCCTGTCTAGTATTGTTCGGTACCTCCCATGCAAGAGGAAGGCGAGGAAGGAGGCGAAGGCAGCTACCGAGTGGAGAGTAGTGATCTGTGACGTGAGTTTGCCAAGCCTCCGTACCATCGGCGAGGGTTGATCATATCCATTGTCTCGGTCCAGTAGCCAATTCTCCCATTTTGTCCAACTATATTTCCCTCCTACAGTAATAAGACCATAGAGGCTCTTCTGCCATTTACTAGGAGGAGTTAAGACCAACCCATCGCGTCTCGCGTCGGTATATTTGAGGTTTTGTAGAGCCGCACCATAGGTCGCATCATGATCCCAGACCGTAAGTTTGAAAAGTATCGTACGAAGCACAAGCAGAATCTCAGCTGACCAGTCATCCTTTAAGGTACCTCCAAAGTATTTGAGCGCTTCACCAACCTGATCGCGTAGTTGAGTTACGAGGTCTTCGTCTAATAATTCAGCATCGACTTGGCCGACTCGAAAGGCAGGTCTCGTGCCTTCGCGTGACGAGATTACTTCCCATACCGATAACGATGAAGTTCCAAGTCGATTCAAGGGATATGGTAAACGCGTCACTTCAGTCCAGGCTCGCGATGCTTGGCGGGTAGCGTCGAGTCGAGCTTGAGCTTCTCGTTCGCGAGCCTGTCGACGCGCAGCCAACCGCTGCTGGGCTTGGGCGAAATTGGTAGAGCTCATCTGAGCAGCCACATGGTAATACGATACTCACAATTCAACAATCTCAATTGATGGCGATGTCGTCATTCATGGCATGACTTCGAAACGCATGTATGTATGTATGTGTTGTTATTGTTGTCGTGATCTCCGTGGCTTCGTTACTATCTGTAACGTTTAATGAGGCTTAGAGAATGGTGGGAAGATTAAAACGATTCTGGGGAACAGTTAACGGTAGCGGTAGCGGTAGTGACGTTGTGGGTTGCTTTAGCGTAAATGCTTTAGCGTAAACTTTCGGGGTACGCCGAGGTTAGGAACAGCGCGAATTGGCTTTGATTAAGCTTGGCTTGCATTTGGGCTTTGACCCTCGGTACTACCGACTGGCATATGCCGGCTTACATAATGGCATATTATGCATAATGCGCAGCACATAACGCATTAATTATTAAATATGCATAACTCAACTATCTTTGTTCTCCTATTCCATTTGTGTACCAGGTGCGAGATATCCGCGGGTATCTAAACGTATCCCATCAATATTTACTTTGGTAGTAGACCGGAACCCCTTTCCGTATATTTTATTGGCTCCAGCTATGTCCAGCTATGTAAGCAAGTCGGTATTGAAGATAGCTGATAATTCAATTTAAAATGTATCTCTGTTAAGTAGTTATTAGGGTAAGATCTTAGGATAGATATAAGACTTACTAAATATACTATGTAAATGTATAATTCGCTCATTGGCTCTTCTTATTGGTACATGTAGCTTGTAAATGAACGCCCAATCATAGCATCTCAATTGATAGCTTGAAGGCCTCACAATCTATAACATTTAAAAGGATGTAATAATCGCCATGCAATAGAACTATATAGGTAGGAACAGCTCGCCGACCAAGCTGAAGCTGAAGGTATGTTCACGGCACAGACTTAGCCGCGGGATTCCTTCACAATGCTTATAGAGCAATCAACTATCTCAGGTATCTCCTAAGCATGAAGCCGGAGTTACAAATGCGGACATAATTCGACAACTCCACATCTAAACTATAGAGGCTCAAAGCCTGCGAGATAACGTAGCCTTACATTAATAAATATGGTGAGCTCTATGTACCGGTCGGTGGAGGCTCATTCAACGGCGGAGCCTCCTGATCTAATCTAGTCTACTATGTAAGTTGACGTTACTTTGATTCCTACGATGCATGTATGAGGTAGGTTGGTACATAAGTTCCTACATCTGTATCGCGGGGTTTGAAGACCCAGTGTTTCAAGAGCCCGGACCCTCGAGCAAGCCACGCAGTCAGGGGGGGAAGTTTAAGATACTATGTATGTATGTAATAGCCACATCCTCAAGCATCCTCAAGCATCTTCAGCACACACCTAAAGTAATAAAACCAACAACAACGCGACTATTACCCGGGTCTATCACGAAAACCCTGGTTATATCCTATTGGCCAAAATAAGGAATACACCATACCAAGAAGGGTAAAAGTTTGGGTTTGTTGATTTCCAATTGGCGTCCATGGTAGTCTATGGTTCCAGTAATTTTCGGTGGATAGGATTTTATGTTGGTGATATTTCTTATTCAAAGTCAATTAAACTTACATATGCCTTGCATGTTAAAGAAGACCAAAGAAGACGATGATGGCTATGCTGCATTGTTACACCTGACACTTGGAACGAACTTGCAGATTTGAAAGCGCAGACCGCCCCCAATTCGCGCTAGACATCTTACCTAGGGCGTGAATGGACGTGGAGTGGACGGAGCAAAGCCACGATCGCATAAGTAGGTACCTAGGAAAAGACAGGGGGGAAGAAGAAGACCAACAGGGAAAAAACTAGTAGGTAATGACCCCGTTGTGCAACACTACCACTCTATCGGGCATATCAATATTATTTCCCCCTTCCATCCCGCGCTCCGTACATTAGGATTAGGGTACAGGGCTGACAGTAACTTGCAGATGACAGCAACCCAAAGGCCAAGGGTTGCCGTGGGCCAGGTTGTCTTCGGGGTCCTCACCACGCGCCCGTACCCTTGTACATACATCACCCGCTGCTACGTGCTATTTGGACCCATTTAACGCCCGTTGAACCCGGCCATTGATGATCGTTTTGTCAGAACTAAATGTGAGGCTTGCTTTCGGCTCATATATGAGAAGTCCGCTCATCGACCCTACCGTTCATCAACCGTGCTTATGGTGCATTCTGGGTGCATTTCTTAAAACATAACCCTCTCGTCGGGCACGAACGATAATTCATTTACCTTATATCGGCAAGTTTAACGACGATCTTTACACAATTTCACTAATTCCTTGCTTAAGTAATCCACCCCGACGCTCTCATGGTGATGAGTCGGGATGAGGAGAGGGCCGGAAGCCTCAGTCGGCAAGGGTCCACGGTTTCTTCGCCCGACGGCTCGGAGACCAAGGCCGCCAATCGGTCTAAGGCAAATATACGCGTATCTCTTGCCTGTGTTCAATGCCGAAGCAAACACGTCAAATGCGATGCCACGCTGCCGGCTTGTAATCGCTGCCAACAAGAAGACAAGCCGTGTTTTTATGCAAAGTCGAGACGAGGCATCCGGGACCCCAAAAAGAGAAGTCTTATATCGGATAAACCACCAGCGACTTCAGCAGGAAACTTCTTCTCAACATCAAACTTTTCTTCAGGCCTCCCGTCGGTTCGGTCCCCTCGTGAGTTACCGAGCGGTTGGTCCGTTAGTTCAGAATCACAATCACAGGCGTCCACCTCGCCTCAAACCGAAAAGGAGTTATTACTCGACTTATTCTACAGTCACTTTCATCCAAGCTACCCTTGTCTCCCCCCTAAAAGATTTTTCTTTAATCACGTCGAATCCGACCCGGACGCCTATCACTTCTTGCTCTTGGTCCTAAATTTCTGCGGATCGCTTTACACAAATCAAGTCTCCTCCGACGATTTATTAGAGGCCGCTTGTTCCGCAGCATGTGGGTCGCTACCTTTTACGGTGCAGTCGGTGCAGGGGCTACTCATTCTGAGCATTGCTGCTTACGGGATGATGAAATTCGAACACCATGCCGGTTGGGCTAACAGAGCTGTCACTATAGCCGTCGATATTGGCATGAACCATAAGACATTTGCCGACGCAGCATCTAATTCGGTGCTTGCCGAGAGCTATCGAAGAACATGGTGGTGTTTGACCTTCCAGGATTCCGAACGAGCTCTATGCGATGTCGGCTCTACGCTCTCCATTACAGATGTGGAGTCCGATGTGGATTTGCCATGTGAGGAATGGGAATATGAATCAGGGGTGAGTGCTTCCTTTTCCTTGTCGCCAAGCCTGCCGACTGCCGGGAGCTGGGGCTTCAGCCTCGTACCCAAGCCTCGTACCCAACATAGCCCATAGGTCAAAGACACATCGTCATTCATGCCTAACGTGTTCCCCAGATTATACCTCAGCCTATCTCCCAATCGCAATACGAGTCGCGAGTCAGCTTGGGTCAATCCGACTTTTCTTCAATGGCTTATCTCATTGATATCTGTAAGATTCAGACAGATTTAGTCCTTCCACATAACGAAGCGCCAGAAGACAAAAAGCCAGAGATATTCCATCGTGCAGACTCTCGAATATGCGATTGGTTACGGCGTGTTCCGAAGTGGAAAATGAATTTGGTCGATCCAGATGGTGTAGTTGATGTAATACTCTACCACGGCGTTGCCATAGCACATGTGTAAGTATTAGTTAGTATTGTGGATTACCATAGACCATCTATTGACGTCTAAGTAATTCAGTAACCGACTTTGGCTCAGACAAGCCTCCCCTAGAACTGGTCTCAACATACGAGATTATTTTCCACTAGGCCCTGCCAAGGGTCCCGATCGTAAGGGGCAAATAGTGAAAGGCTTCGGATGGAATCCTCATCCGATTGACATCCAAGCCGCTAATCATTATTGCGATCTATTTCGGCATTCTTTTCCTACGAAGTGTCTACGCTCAGTATTCGCGATAGGGACACTACGGGTGGCTTTAGCTTACCTCGATGCATGTGTATTCCTCGGATTAGACTCCCCCGTCTTTCGAGAACGAATTAACATGTTAGTACAAATACTCACAACACATGGAGAGACGTGGCCCCTTTCTAGAAAGATCGCAGATGACGTTAAGACCGTCGCGAAAGAATATCTAACCCCGAGAATAAGTCAGACTTGGCGGCCGGGGATCACAGAATCAGAAGCATGGGCTGCGGTGTCGAGTGCCCTCTTGAGCGAGGCGCCTTTAGCTGCTAACTTTGGGTTTGAGCCATATCACCAGCCTTACCCAGTTGAGGGTTGGGCTTTAAATGAAACCTGGCCTAGCCTTACGGATATATATCAAGCCTAAATGATAATACCTACTCTTATATCAGGGTGAGATGACGATATGTGGTTTTTTCTTTTCTCCTGCCTATCTTTAATTAGATGGCATGGCACCGGAACTTGGAAATTTGGTGATGGAAAAAATGACGGCTTAGGGGTTATGACCGGGAGAGAGGCTCATCCCGACCCAAACGGATATGTTGGGTTAAGGCTTAAATATATACGCATCCTGTGGGGATCAGGAAAGACTATAGGATCAGAGAAATAGGTGTAGGGTGTAAGGTGTAGGGTTTTACGAAGTTTCCCATATTCCCCAAAACTAACGACAAATTATAATGACACATAGGCCGGCGTTGGTCGTGTTATACCTTCAGCAAGCCGTTTGCCCCTATTTTTAGTATAGTCTTAGATACCTAACCTACAAGTTGTTACTCTACTACTTGAAGGAAATAGGTATGATTTTTAAGAGATCTACCTAGTTAGTTAATTAACAATGACTAATAGCTTTGTTTGTTAATTTATTAAAAGTATTATATATTATATTAAAGTGTATAATAGGTTACCTAAGGTAGTATCTTCTACATGCCTCTATATACATGCACGTAATTGTTATACGAACTTTCTAAGGTTACCTACATCAATGTACATAATCTAAGGTTGGACTTTGATGCTTAAACACATGTCACGTATACATGTATGCACTGCGCCTTCTACACCACGCGATTACCGGCGGTGAATCCTAATACGTATCGTACCTGCCTCGTACCCACAATAGCTCTTTTACGGAGTGGGTACCTACCTCGAACCTTCTCTCCTTGTCCCTGTCTAAAAAAAATTACCCCACCAACAACTAACAATTCATCCCACTTCACTTTTATTCCATACAATCAATACACTAACAATTATAACCATCATGAAGCGTGAAGACTAACCTTACCTTCGCTCTCTATATACACCACACGATATGCAAAGATCATAATACCATCAAAATGAACTTCGCTATAGAAGTTCCAGGTGCGGCCACGCCCCTAAACTTCCACGAACTCCTCTGTACTCTCCAGACTGCATCAACATCCCATGATAATAACCGTCGTCAGGCTGCTGGCCAGCAGCTCACTGCCTGGGAATCCGACCCAGAATACTACCCAACTTTACAGGTATACCATTTCCAATTCTCACACCACTATTTAACGCTAACAACACTTGTTCCAATAACTAGTCTATTTTCCTCGATAAGAATGCGCCCCAAAGTGTCAGGTTTCTTGCAATTATTCAACTTAAGAACGGCGTCGATCGATTCTGGCGGCTTCAGAGTGTTCAGAACTCCATCCCGGCAGCTGCGAAACAAGTAATACGAGAGAGGCTTTTCCGGGGAACTACTAGTGAAGGTGATAGACAGCTTGCTTTACACAATGCGCTTGTTATTGCAAAGGTGGTCCGTACCGACTTTCCTACAGCCTGGCCTACTCCCTTAAACGACCTTACCCAGCTCCTTAGAGCGACTAAGGATGGCGATCAGGTTGAGCTCTCGGGGGCTTTGATGATACTTCTGCGAATAGTGAAGGAACTTGGAACAGCACGTCTGCGTAAGTCTCAGACCATGCTTCAGTCCATCACACCAGAACTCGTATATATCCTTGGTGAAATATATCATGATAGGACTAGTCAGTGGATCGCTTTTTTAACCAACGGTCGTGAAAATGAAGATGGTGATGAGGCTTTGCTCTCGATGGAAAATAGCCTTGATGCTATCAAAAGTCTTCGCCGCCTCTTGATAGTTGGTTATGAGTACCCACACAAGGACAAAAGCGTCCAGCAAGTCTGGAGCTTCTCTCAAGTGCAGTTTGCACAGTTTCTCAGCTTCGTCAACAGTGATTCGCGAAAGATAGCACGATATGCCGATCTCTTAGGGAAACACCTTATGCAATTCACAAAGCTCCATATTGAGATGGCTACAGCCCACCCTGCAAGCTTTGCCTCTCTTCCAAACTCTCTAGATCTTGTCCGTGCATATTGGGACCTCACCGCTAAATTTGCAGAAGTGTTCAATAAGTCGGATGGAATACGACAAGAGACCTCAGGATCAGGTCAGCCCAAGGCTAAGGTCGAAGGGCCCCTTTCGGAGAAACTAGCATTGAAGGGTCTGCTTCTGGTAAGACAGTGTGTAAGGATAGTCCACTTTCCCCAGCAGACAATCCGTTATCATTCAAAGGATAACATAAATGAGCAACAAGACGCAGTCAAATTTCTAGGCGCCGAATTGCTCAAAGATGAAGTCGTCACCCAAATAGCAAATGTCTTAATCACTCACTTTTTCATATTTCGTAAGGCGGATCTTGATGCGTGGGATGAAGACCCGCAGGAATGGGAGCAGCAAGAAGAAGCTGAAGGCAATGCCTACGAATGGGAGGTGAGGCCTTGCGCGGAGAAGTTATTCTTAGATCTCCTCACACATTACAAGCGTCTACTCCTACAGCCCCTCATATCATACTTCTGTACGGTTCAAAACCCACAAACGGACATCGTTACTAAAGAAGCAGTGTACACTGCCATGGGACTAGCTGCTCCTTTGGTCAGCGAGGAGTTTGATTTCGAAAACATGCTGAAGACGACAATAGTAGCCGATGCTCAGCAAGCAGGTCCATTAGCCCGAGTCATCAGAAGAAGGATTGCCATCCTTTTAAGTCAATGGGTGCCCGTCAAAATATCAACAGAAGCCCGCCCACTTGTTTACGAAATATTCCGACATTTCCTCAACCCCGAAGATGCATGCAACGACATTGTTGTTCGTATTACTACTGCGAGACAATTTAAGATTATCTTTGACGAGTTAGGATTTGAAGGACACCTATTCTCCCCATACGCCTCTGATGTGCTTATGCGGCTTATCAGGCTATTAGAAGAAGCAGAGGTTGATGAGACCAAGTTGGCGATACTTGAGTCAACGCGGAGTCTTATACAGCGCATGGAAACACATGTGTCCAGTTTCGGTGATATGGTAATGAATGCAATACCCAGCATCTGGGAGTCTGCGGGTCCCCTGGGTTTCATGATGAAGCAATCAGTTTTGGCCATCATACAAGCAGTGGTGATGTCCATGAAAACAGAATCTCAGAGATATCAACCTATGATTTTACCACTTATATCCGAGGCTACAAGACCAGGTACAGAGTTATATTTGTATCTCATCGAAGAAGCGCTTGATCTGTGGTCTAATATCTTATACCAAAGCCAGCCTCCCTTATCATCGGGGCTTACCAGTCTGGCTGAAACTGCCATCAATGAGCTCTCGAAGCAGAATGACTATGCTTTTACATACACAAGCATTCTCGGCTGTTACGTTTTACTCTCACCAGAGGTCATTCTTGAAGATCGATATAGACGACCAACTCTCGCTGCTCTCTCTAGTTCGCTTAATGCGAGGAGCCGTGAGCTAGTGAGCATCACCATACGATACACCGAATCGTTAATACGATTGTCTCATGAGTTGGGTGGTACGTCCGGACTACAAGTAATTGTTCAGGATATGATGGGGGTAGGCTTCTTACCTACAATCTTCGAAGGCATACATGACTCCTTTGAAGCCCATCAAACATCTGGGCCTAAAAAGAAGCAAAGTCGTGTGGGCTCTCAAATTTTGATAGAGTACTTCGTGATCCTATCTCGAATTGCCGTGATCGATCCAGCCATGTTCGTGGAGATGCTTGCCTCACTTGGCCCCTTAGATCAAGTTTGGAATTGGCTCAGTGCCGAGTGGTTTGGTTCGTTTGACAGTATAGCTGATAACAATCGGCACAAACTTAACCTTCTAGCTCTGACACGACTTCTTGAGCTTAACCAACCGATGCAAGACCTTGTTCTGCTCAAACTCCAGGATTATTTTTCGATGTGGACCAGCGTCATGGTTCAGATCCTAAGTGCTGAGTCACCTACTATCGGCAATGATATGCTCGTTATCACTGACAAGCTGGAGCCCACCGAATGGGACACGGCGAAGGACGTGAGAGAGAGGGCTTTGTTTTCGACCGATCCAGTAAAGACAGTCCAGTCTCTCTCCTTTGTGAAAGATAAACTTAACGACCTAGTACAGAGAAGTGGAGGAGAGCAAGCTTTCCAGGAAAATTGGACCATCAATGTCGACAAAGATGTCCTAGCTGGATTCCAAGCAATAGCTGCAGTATCTAGTGGTGAGGCGTAGTGCGTATCAAACCTAAAGGAGATGCAAGACAAGATGGAGTCGCAGCAGGACCGATTGAAGATGCGTCTAGGAATGTGGCGGGTATAAGGAGCAGGAGAATGCAAGGAGTGGCGTGTTGGCCTATGTCACAACAAGCATACCGACATCTTTTAAGGAAAACAGGGTGATGAGAACCAGATCTGGCTTTGTTTCTTATATGACTACAACCAAAAGATACCACGAACTTCGAGGTGTTCGGATACTAAGGGTTGGTTTGCTATGATTCTTGTTTAGTTACCTAACCTACCTAGGCACTAAGGATAGCTCTTTATAGTGATAAACATAGGTTTCTACGTTGATATGTAAATGTGCCGTTGATTGAAGAAAAATACCTCGAGGTAAGGAAAGTGCTGCGTAAGTTTTCCGAACAGTGTTAAGCCTATGAGTTGAAAATTAGCCAGTAGTAGATACCTTGTAACTTCACAGTTGGCCTTTAGGTACGAGAGATGTGTAATAAAAGGTAGACTTTTGCTTATGCGGAGTGGTGATGTTAATTATTTAGGGGTGGCAGTTACGTCTACGAGACTACACACATACAGACAGCCCGGCTATCCGTAACCATTCTTCTTCTTGCGACCCCCTCTCGCATAAAACCACAGCATTATAAGCGGAAACGGGTATATTAGGTGCCTAGCCTTTTCTTCACTTAAGAGCGAGTGCAACCCAGCCGCCAATTACTGTTTGCATGCAAATAGACAGTTAGTATAGGTATACTTCTAGATAGATCAACCGTCATCATAAACAGGGGGAGAAAAAAAACGGGTAAAAGGAAAGGAAACGCACAACACAGTCCGCCAAGCGGGGTCACGGGACCCAGGAACCGGAAGCGGGCCGGGTTCAGGACGAGCAGGTACAAGCTCCCGCTGAAGAAAGTCATGCCGGTGGTAAACAGGACGCCGGAAATGGGGTTCTGGACCTGGGCGGCGACGAGCAGGGCGACGGAGTGCACGAGCTGGTAGTGGGCGGCGGTGGCCCAGTTGGCGACTTTGGTCGGGTCCGAGATCAGCTTCTTTAGCCCGTGGGCGCCGAAGGCGCCGAGGCCGACGGCGGATGCGCCGTAGATGCAGGCTAGAGTCCAGTACATGCTGTTGCGGGGGTGGCGGCGGGTTGTTATTGTTGTGGTGGTGGTGGTGGTGGTGTTGGGGTTGAGGAGGGAGGTGCGTTCGTGGGAGGGGGGCATGGTGGTGGGGGTTGTAAGTAGGGTAGGGTAGGGTAGGTAGGTTGGTTGAGGGTCGGAGGTGAAGGTGCGGCGGATATATTAGGTAGAGATAGGTGATTCACCCCCGGGAGCTCCGGTACGTCGCACGAGATTTGTGGATTAGATAACGAGCGAGCAAGCGAGCAAGCGCCTTGCAGGTCTTACATAGTTCCCGCTTTTAGTTGCATTAGGCGGGTTTCATTAGTTGGCAGTTTACGGAAGTCGCCTTCAAAAGTTTTGTCCATACCAGGCACCTGTCAGGCTTGGCCACAGCTGTTAAGCAGCTGTAAATGGCTTGACCCACTTGGCACTCAAAAATTATAATGTACATTGAAATTTACCTTTTATTATATGGATGATTATACAACCAAATATATTTTTAAAATATAGCGATTATATCAGTTATAAATATAAAGGCTTAGATTTATTATGGCATAGATTTTAATATTATAGCTTAAATATTTAAGGTAAAATTAATATATTAAACTGGTATATATAGAGGAGTACATCTGTCATTGCGGCCAACAGTTGTTGCCAAGATTTGCCAGGCTGACAAGGGCTGACTTATGGACAAAACTTTTGAAGGCGACTTCCGTAGGTACTTCAGGACTTCAGGAACGCCTCGTTTGCAGCTCTTAACTTTGTGATAGCTTGTTTAATCTTTTCTTATGGCTACCTATCCTGAATACTTGCAATTTCCTTTCCCCTAACCCCCCCTAGTAAATAAGGTTCCCGTGAGTCTACTCGATGCTGATGATAAATTGAAATTGTAGGCAAGTTATGTAAGATGCGCTTGTATTGATCTAAGCTGACGTTAACAGACGTAAATTGTCGTTTCTTTAAACTCGGGAAATTGCAAGGCTTCTCCCAGCATGATTCTATCAATATAGCAGCCACCAACAAGAAAGTAAGAATAGGCATTCATCTCATTCTTGCGTAGCAGAAACGGAACGTTGCACCCAGAGACGATGCTCACGTGATCTCCGACCTGAGCAGTGTTTGGTACGATACCGCAGCGGTTGTGTTTTGTTGTCACAAACCTCCAGCCGGAGACGCTACCATTGAGCAGAGAGCTATATGCTACGGACTTTTCTTGCCGCGTCGATCCCTCACCTAACAGGCCGGTGATAACGCTGGCTTCCGGCTCGGGCTCCTGGACGTACTGGTGAGTCTTGCTGCGCTTGAACTCGGCCTTCCTTAGGACCTCGCGAAAGGCGTTATACGAGTCATACATAGAGATATCTACAAGGGCGACTGTGGTTGGACGCAATGCGCCGGCTACGGGCACCTGCCATTTCAACTCCTCAAGACGATCCGGCGCATAGAATGGGCGCAGGGAATCGACCATCGAATCTATCTCCTTGAAGTATTGTGCGCGCTCCTTTGCTTTATTTGAGTTGGAGTGCTTGCTGATAGACACGATCTCGTCCACGTGGCAGCCGTATATCGCCAGCACGTTTCCGTCTAGCCAGCTGATCCGTCCCCCTAGATTCCTCGAAGCGTCGTAAATAACCTTGCGGTCGTGGAGAACGCTAGTACCGGGAGCTGTCAGGTCTGGAAGCCATGAGGGGAACCGATCTGAGTTTGGTCCTAGCCCTGCACGGTATAATAGATACATGCCATGACCATTGTTGACAAAGCCACGACCAAACCTACATGCGATTTCTTCAAATGGGGTGCTTTTACGATAGTCCGGCTCAAATTCCTTATTGTTTCCGTCAGAGGCAAGTCCCAACAAGGCAAAGTAACGATCACGTCGTAGCGTGGAGTCGACGTGGCGGAAGGTGTCCAGGAGTGTCAAAAGGCTACAGCGTTGACGATACGATTCATGTACTCGCAAATAGGACAGAGTCATGAACGGTTGCCAGGAGGAAGACCATGCGCCGAGGCTGCTACCCAATTCTTCCTCGATGAGATCCATGGCTTTGTAGATATCATTCCAATTCACCGTCCAATTTCCGCACACAATAGAAATCCTGGGGGAAATTACAACCTCCTGGACTATCCACACCCTCCGGAACCAGGTACTTTCGAAAAATCTCGCGATACATGGCCATATCGGGTCATCCGGTCCCGGTGTGGATCTTCCTGCCCAAGACAAGGGTACGGGTGATAGCCCCTCTGGCCAATTATTTTGCGTCGAGTCATAGTTCTCCTTGGCCGTTATCTGTAACAGAGTCTCTATGGCGCTGTCGTTCTGTGTGGTGGCGCCTAGGAATGCCATTGTGCGGGTTGCGGTTTGAAAAAGTTTGGGCAGCATTCGAATCTGCCTTGCTTTTTCCTCCTCGTCTGCCTGATTGATACAAATTGCATCGACCCATAGTACGGTAGAACTAGTTTTATGACGCAAGCGTCGAAGGGCGGTGTTGAGAGAATCACATAAGCTCAGGAAGCCATCCGGCGTCCAAAGACAGTGCCGTGTCGGGGTGTCATCCAGGCCCCATTCGTACGATAGTGTTCTATAAGGGCCGCTGCCCTCAATACTTGAACACTCGAATATCATGCCCGTGAGCGGACTGCGAGTCTCACCAGGGAATAGCATGAGCAGTCTTATATGATCGGCGCCGATTCTTTGGTGAGAGAACGGAAGATTGACCTTGTTGCTCATGCTAAGAGGACTTACGATGCGATCAGACTGTTTGTTAACGACCAAGTCGAGGTCCCCTATAGACGTAGAGTAGTAATTAGGCCCTTTTATTACTTGACGGCAAGCCCATGGCGCTTGGTGGTAGGGTAAAGTAACCAAGCTCGCATCTTCCGCCTCGTTATGCTGTAGTTCATCCTGCAGCTGACCTAGATTCTGGAAGTTTGCAACTGTGGTTATGTCCTTGATCTTTACAAGAGACTTAATGTTTTCTATAAGGTGTAGTTGATCAAAAACGACAAGGTGCCATGGATCCACGACAAAGCAGAACTGCGGATTCTCGAATATGCTGCTGACTCGAACAAGAATTGCAACATCGGAATGAGCACGCTGGGTTTCCCTAAATCGAAACTTCTCTATCTGTGGCGAAATGTCAGAAATCGAGTGTCTTGCTCACGAGGCTTGCCATTGCGGACGGGCTGGGTTAGGAGGGGAACCAAGGGTAAGGAGGGGAGGAAAAGGGGAAGGGGGTGGGGGCGGGCGCGTCGCCACAGGACTAACCCTCTTAAGCTGCCACCAAGACCAAACAAATGTTGAATTCATGTCGCCTTCAGAAGCGGCTATTTCAAAGTGATAGCGTGGCAACCTACCACGCCACGCCGCAACGTCTCCTGCGCTCACGGGAAGCTTGCCCAGCCTGAACATGAGGTCTGTCACACACGTTGACGCCAATGGATCGCTCATTGTGAAAGGTGCTAACTGGTGGTTAGCTGTGAAAGATGGAAGACCGGCCCTTGAGCGCAGCACACTTGTCCAGTGGCTGACAGGGTCGTAGGAACTTCCCATATGCCTTTGAAGAAAGTTGGATACCTGCAAGTAAAAGTCAGTATTAACGGTGCTAGTACTTTACGGTCTGTGCAACTCGGTTGGTAACGAGGTAGCTACTTACAAGCTTTTGTCCTAAATACTCAATATGCTGACTCGGATCCAGCGAATGGTTCATGAGTAAAAGCCCTTGCTCGCGAGCAGGGTCTTCAATGATAGTCGTACCTAACTGTGAGAAGGACATCAGTGGAATTCGCCTATCTTCGTGCGCCCCCTCGACTATTAAACGCCTTCTAGCTCTTCCTTGCTCCTTATCTTCGCTGCCACCACTCCCCACATGCCACGTGGGGCGGGAGATGGCAAAATTATAGTCTGCTCGAGACCAATAGCGCATATCGGTATTATTGGTATTATTTGTTTGTGGTTCTACTAGGTAATGAGTTCAAGGAATGTTCAGGGCTCGACTTTGTGTTAGCCTCGAGCTCACAGGGCCATCGTACCTATATTTTGATCAAGAGGGGGAGGAGAATAATAACCGTTGACCGCAAACTTGTGTTGGACCTTGTTAATATTAGGTTGCCTTAGGGCTGTATAGAGCAAGCTCGACTTTTGATGGTCTTTGATTCGGCAACTTGCTGCGATCCTGTCAATTAGGTCAAAAGGTAGTTGCAGGCGGATATAATTCTTTCTTGCGATGTATATCGTCATAGTATTTTGTATTTGGTTTGGAATTAGTGTCGCCTCGCACTCGATCGCGTGACTAGTGTATTTTAACTTGCCCTTGTATTTAATCGCGTACACTTGAAAAATGTTCTCCGTAATATAAATTGATATCGTGTTTAACCGGCGATATATCGAGTATATGTCTTTCTCGGACTTGGGGACCAAACTGTCAGTTAAAACATTCTTGTTAGTAAGAAGTAATCTTAGGTACTCTAATAGATTTAAGATCGCCTATGTAGTTACTAATAATAATCATGTAGGAGATGTTATAGAAGCTTGTGTCTTACCTCTTTACAAACCAAAGTCTATCACGAAAAAATTGAGTATCGGACGAAGAGAACGTGCAATTTCCTAAAGGATAATATCTCTCCTCGACAATCCCATTTAGTTGTCGAGTATGAAGTCCCATCGTTACGAGAAGGGAGTTTATTGACTGAATATCCTCGGCAGTCAAAGCCAACAGAGGCACTTTGCCAATAAAACTTCTTGCTAGGTGGGGGCGATCTGCGATGAACCATGAAGTATCTTCCGGACAGCGGAGTACATGAGCCATTTGGCCTGTCGTATGTACTGGAAATATTGCTTTGCCCTGAAGAAGGCGCACAGAACGTCTGGCCGTTTTAGGGCTCATAGGGCGTAGGGCGCGGTTAAGTTCGATAAAGACCTCTAGAATGTGAGTTAAAGTCCACGAAATGTCAATTGAGGCTGCCTTGGCGACAAGGCCGTCAATATCGACGGGATCGAGATCAAATAGCCATAAGAAAAACATCTCGCAACTGGGGTAGATAGCTTTAAGATCAATTTTCCTCCCTTTGCATTCCGCAACGGTGAGCCACGAGTGAGATTTGCGACTGGTTGATTGCACAAGGCCTACATATATGAAGGCGTTCTGATGGAATGAGTCCCTTTAATGTTGTAAGCAAGACAGACGTGAATGCATAAGTCCTTGTTATACTTACATTACACTGTCCGGGTCATCCTCGAAACGGGACTGAATCTGTTCGTATACATATGAGATTACATCGTTATCTGGCGAGCCTTGTTGCAAACCGAGTGAGGTCAAACAGGCTAGGTAGAAGTAGATGTTAACATCAACATTAATGCCCAGACACCCCAGCTTCCTACGAAATGACTGATCTTCAGAACCATCTATATCCAAAATAGGTATTGGAATTTGTAGTTCCTCGACACGAGGGTCCAGAGAGGGGAGGAAGGTGTTGTAGATAGGCGCGGGTCCATGCAGCGTGTGCACAATAGTGTGTTTGATGTTGTGAAGCAGTGGCATATTGAAATCTGCCGTGTTAGGATGTTTCTGCCTGAATGAACTCGGTTCGATCCACTCGGAGTAGATGTTCCAATGCTCGCTAAGGAGATAGAGCACGTCGGATACAGAACATTCTTTGAACAAAAACTTGAATTCTTCCGATAGGAAGTAGCACCGATTCCCAAAATCTATTGACTCACGTACAAGCCGCGGAATCTCTGATAAGTGCAGGGTGTTGATGAGGTATGACCTAAAAGATTTCTTCTCTTTAACAATTAAATTCTCCAAATATGATTCGTCAAGGAGCGAAAAGTGCCTTTCAACACTCGATTTGGTACTGGTGGCAGGTTGGTCTACGCCGACAGTCCCAGTTTCGAAAACGGAATCCGTTACGGTTGCCGACTTCTGATTTAGATCTTCGGCGGTGTCTGAGAAATGTAGCTCGTTGTTTGATGTGCTATCAAGCCGTAGCTTCTCGGGAGCGTCTTTTTCAAAGTGTACCATGTCCGGATATTTCTTGTAGAGAGACGCACTGTTTATTCGAGAGATATAACCTTTATGAGCTGTCGGGAATTCCTTTCGAAGTTTATCGAATACCCTGGCAGATGGCGATCCATCTTCGAAGTCGCCCCGAATATATAATTCTGAACCTTTACATACTCCGCCATCAGATGTAGCAAACCAGAGATCCACGTCAAAATCCGGATGCCAAGAAGCCTGAAATAAGTATATGGCGTGCGAGATGAGTTTTGTTCGTGGTATTTTTAGGGGGTCGAAGGACGTAGATGCATGCAACTTGGCGATTTTAGAACACATGTCTGGTCGATCGATTTCTGAGATACCAAGCTTCTGAAATAAACTTCGTCGATTGTCGTCGGCTGCGGCCGCTGGATCTACGATAAGTACCTCGCTGAATACCCCGAAGCTCTTCGGATCTAGGTCATCGCTAAAAAATGCCGGCTGCTGATCTGCTGACGTCCATGTTCCACCAGACAGCGGTATGATGGCTAGTCTTGACAGAGTCTCCTTGTGGCTTGCAACTTGTGCTAGAGGCAGAAGAGCCTTTGCGAGCTGTGAGTGCCACGCAGGGGGCCGCCGCCGAAATTTACCTGGGTAATTGGACACCATAGACTCGAGGTCATTCAAAAATGTCACATCAGACATACTACAGACCCCGAGATCTAAAAGGGAGTCTATCAACCACTCGGGATATTTTATAGATAGATAGCGGCTAATCGTGTGCTGGTGTAGGGTAAAGGGGCGCCTGTCTTCATCCGAGTACTTGTCGAGACTGACATAGACAAGGTTCGACGGTCTAAGCATTGTCCCATCCCAGCCCTCTAGGACCGCTCTTTCGGCTAAGTCTTGCAATATCATTTCTCGGGAGGGCTGAAAGAAACTAGATACCTCACTGTCGGGTACGAAGAACGGCCAGAAGTACTTCATCGAGCCTTGGCTAAATTTTTGGACGGCTTGGATGAAGGCGGCAGCCAGACCATCTCGCAGTGACTGGTTCCATGGCGATGAAACGTCAATATGCGATCGGTCTGCGGTGAGCAAGAAGTCGCCGTTTAGCAAGAACTACACAGTCAGATGTAAGTTAATCCAGTTCCGTAAGGGAAATATCCTCCCAGGGGAAAAGTATAGTACCTTTAGGCCATAATCACATACTGGCAACAGCGCATGAACGTATTGAGGGCTGCGACTCGGCTGGGCGGGCAATCCCGAGGTTGGAAAGGCAAGCGTAAGTTCTGAAGTCCGAGATCCTGACCGTTTTTCCTCAAAAGGGAGATTCTCTACTTGGTAAGCGAAAGTGTGGTACCGCAATTGGCTTTGATCCACGTCGACGATAGTGACCGGTTCGCCGTCTTCCAAGACAAGCGTTTTATGTAGACGTCTCTCCCACACTTTATTGTCCTTGTCATGTACCCGTAGAACAACCTGACGTATTCTCCTGAGAAACACGAGAAGGCTAGCATCAAAGTCACGAAGCTCCTTTGCTAGATCCTCCGAGGCATTAACCTCGGACAGTTTGAGGTAAAAGGACGTCTGGGCCGGAAGAACAGACTCCGGAAACTCTGCCCATTTGGGGGCGATCATGCCGAACTGTTCCTTCTTGTCAAACATGAAGCGGTATTGGCGTGACGATATCCAGACTCTTTCCGCAACTCTGAAGACACTTTTGAACCCGATTCCCTTCTCACCGGTGTAGCCCCCGGAGTGGTTCTTGTTACTCTTAGTGCTACGGCGAACTGTAGATATGGCCTTAACATGTTTAGCTTCAAACCCGGTTTCATTGCAGTCGACCCGGAGACTACCCGTGTTCTCTCTGCAAGTGAATGTTAAGGTGGGAATTAAGGATAAGGGATACTGATTGTCATCGGCATTCTGCAGCAACTCAAGGAGGAAGTGCGTTGACGTATCGTATAAGTCCGACGCAGCGCTGGAAATGTTAATGATGCGTACATGCACGGCACCGTATCTGAGATAGCGAGCCAAGTACAGGGATAGACGCACAGATCTAGCAAATCACTTAGTATCACGGCGAGCTCTTCATATCCCACGGTAGTATGCTTCTCCCTGATCGTCGAGATAAGTTCCCTTGCTTCACGCTCCAATTCTGCACTCGAATCCATTTCTGCCTTTGCATTCCTCATACACGGGGAGTAAAGCGCTAGGCCAGATCCGAGGCTATTACCTGGATTGTGTTTTAGAAGTGATGCAGTTGACGACAGTTAGAAGTTGTGTACGAAGATATATGGTATCGTCGTAGAAAAGGAAAGGAAAAGAAAGTAGAACACAGTATTTATCTCCTTTCCGGGATGCTACCGGACTCTGATTGACTTCCTGGACAAGTCTCGCCAGCCTTACTATCAGAATTCTGCCAAAACTTCCTACCAAGTAAATACACCTCGATTATAGTCCTGTGGGTCAGCAACTAGCCAACAGAAGATTTACACATATTAGGAGAGATCATGCATGTACTGGACATGGATTTTCGCATAGTGGCTTAGCCGCCAGCCTCATGATCGCGACAGTTGGGGCTACAATATCGGCCGCAGCTGACGAATTATTTGTATACACGCACATTGAATCTAGTCGAATTGCGTGTTATTGGTACGGAATATAACGAAAGTCTACCGCCAACACGATATTATGTACTTCTATAGGTAGGTATGTACCAGTTAGTTGGGCAGAAACTGAACACTACCCCCAAATCATGAAAATAAGAAAATACCCTCATTACTTCTAACTAATACTTCTAAATATATAAATAAAAGAAGAAAATATCTATTTAGCCTCGTAATCGCCTGGTATAAGCTATACTTTCATCATCGGTATCATAGTAGCCAGGAGGTGCGTCTTCCGGATTAGGACACCATAGGAATTTGCCATCGCCTGGCGAAAATAACATATCATACCATCGCGGTATATTCCCTTCAGCAATCATTACAGCCATCACCAGCCGATTATACACAGAAAACCCCTTCGCCTTGATAGCTTCCTTTAAATACTTCCAGAACGTTTGATAGGGTATGCTTTCAACCTTGATCGTTACTCCGTCTATGACACTACCATCAAAGTCGTTTATAAATTCCTCTAGTGCTTTCTTGTCCTTGAAACAGACGCACCCTCGGGTCATGCCCGTCACGAGGATACCGGGACAACTTGGTTTAAAACCTTCAACCCGTATATCGCATATGTCGGCGGCAACTCCAATGGGTCGATAGTCTTCTGTTGCGAGAGCTAACTTCTGGGCGCAATCGATGCTAGGAGGCAGACTTGAACCCTGGTTATGGATCAACGCCTTGTACGGTATGAATCTGAAGGCCTCGACCTGGGATTTAACCTCTATACCTGGGAACTTGCGCTCTCCCAGTATGAGCTTGTCTACTCCCTCTCGACATTGTAACCCTTCTAGCACGGCCAATGCTTTAACTGCTTCGTTGACGACTATGCGAGTTCCTGCAAACCATACTGTACCGATAGAGACGTAACCAAAGGTATCAAGGATAGTTCCCATATCAATTTGATGGCAAGCCAAGTCCGGAGAAATCGCTCCGACCATCCTCGAAAGGTCTATCCAATAGGGGAACATGCTGTTGATATGCGCAAAGTTCAAGCCTATACGCTCGATATCTTTTGGAAGAGAGAAACCGATCAGCGCGATATTTTGACCCGGGACCGCCGCGCAAAGCTGCTTCATAGCATGGACTATTGTAGTCGTCGCTCTGGGTATGACTACCTCCTCTCGGCCTATCATATTGATCCTCAACGATATGGTCCTAACCTGGCGTTCCGTTACGAAGTCGACGAGGTATAGGGGCTCCTCGTGCTTGTCACAGGTATGCTCCTCGAGTTTCGTTAAAAGTGCCAGATCAACGTCAAAGAACCCTCCAATCCCAAACCTAGGTTTAACGTCCAGGGCGACGAAAGCAGTATCTGCAGACAACTTCTTAACCGCCTTCATAGTAGGTACATAACGTCTTAGCAAGTCGTCCAGCTGTTCCCGGTTGTGAATATTGCTCGTATCAGGTAGGATAGGGATCAACCTATCCTCCCTCCAGGCGATCTCTTCGGGTTCTTGCATATGTCTGGATCTTGCTAGGTAGCGATGAATACGGTCTAATCTTGACATAGCTTTAAGAGATCCCCTCAATCAGGTGGTAAAATTATCCTGTATATCCTCCAAGTCCGGAGTCAGCGATCGTATTCTTGTAACCGTTCGTTTCAAAACGTTGTGTAAAGGAGGCAAAGGAAACGGAGAAAGAATCATAAGAGTGAATTCACTAAAGCAATCTTCCCACGCTTCTTATATACGTACCTAGCCTGAGGTACCAATGTTGGGACTTTGGGAACTAGAAGAAAATAGGAACTCGATGAGTACCTACTTATACCTTGAGGAAATGTCCTAGCACACAAAATTACATAGCTACCTATAGAGTTGTTGGACATTCACGAAACTCTAATAACGCAAATCAAATACCTAACTAAGGGTATTTTTCCAGAATTTATTCCTATTATTAATAGGCATAGTTCTTTTAGTGGATTTGAAATCTGGCGTTCTATTCACTTAGTCTAAAGAGAGAGATGAGCCACGATCTAACCACCGCTACGATGGTCCGAACATATGTATCCATTCACATAGTTAACGTTTAGCATGGCCAAAGTAAAATGTTGAGTTAGGACGACGTATTAGTAGTTTGAAAACCTCGCGAAGGGGCACGCGATTATCGATATAGCTATGGTCCAAGCGTATACTCAGTACCAAAGTATGAAGGATTCCTAATACTCTGACCCCGACCACTAGTCAAGGAGTTCTAGACAAGACAAATGCTAGCGCCCTCATAGAAATGCCCATTACTGCGTATTATGAAAAGGTTCTTACGAAGCATATGGTGATAATTACCTAGGGATTATGCCAAGGTACCATCCAAGATTCCAAACAGCTATCTCTAATTGACGGCCATGGCTCGACGCTATGCGCACGCCATGTCACATTTTAACTTAAAACCACCGATGGTGAGGACTTCAATGTGGCTTCAGCTCGGAAGTATTATGACGGGAAGTGGAAGTCTATTGCGCATTGGACAAAACGTATAGCAAATAGCAGGCCCTCACCAAGAGGGGATGTCGCAGTGAAATAATCCGGTATCTACTTGACATCCCAAGAGCCTAGTCCAAAGCCTTCTAGCTCAGCCTTATAATAGAAAAGAATATTGTCCCAATGTCGTAAGCCAAGACATGCCAGACCCCCCTTCAAAGATGGTAGGTAGAGGGAGGGATAAGGGACGTCGAGCGTCCAAAGCGCCTCGCCTTTCCGCCAATCACCGACCTGTCTCGACTTTGGAGAACTTCAAGAGGCAATCGGCAATAATAAATCAATATTCCCTAGAACGAATGACGAGCTAGGGCGTCCGGTGAGATGTTGCGATGTATATATCAGGTAATGGCAGATGGAGATTCCCCTTTTGGGTCGCAAGATGCGATCTTGCACTAAATCTCGCGCAAATTAACAAATCGTCTTAAGAGACATGCAATGCCGCTCATGCATTGTCAAAAGGGGCATATTCGGTCAGCTTCTAAGGCTCTGGTCTAGGTGGTCACCTCTGCATGTATAATAAATACAATAGCCAATCCTGGGGCCGTTGCTTATTTTCTCCCCTACTTCGTTCTGTCTATTTCGATTTTCTCATCCAGTGGTGTCCCCATGGTCCACTAAAAGATATATACCCTTTCGCTCGCTCTTACATATTCGGATATATAATACATTGGCGATGCTGAGGGTGTCACTAATTAGGAGCATATTGCTCTTCCTTCTTGAAAGTTATTTGGTCTTACAGGTACTGGCCGTGACCTGCTACCACCTTGACGGCACAAACGCAGGGCCATCGAACGGACTGTGCAATCCTAAGTAGGTAGACTTAGCTCTTTGCTGTCCTTCAACGTGTCGGGTGAAACCAGTCCATAATAAAGGGGCCGAAACTTAACTCAATCATTTTCATACCGTATACTAATAGTATATGACCTAGTGCTACCGGAGTAGAAGGATCTCATAGCGCATGCTGTAGCGCAGAGAACGGAGACGCATGTCTATCAACCGGCCTGTGTCTGAACACCATCGCTCGCCAGCAGAGCCACTTGCTCTGGTCGACAGCATGCACGGATTCAACTTTCAAAGACCCGAGCTGTCCTCAGTACTGCCTCGGACGTCAGTCACCCATATTTCCCTCTTAGCTGATGTCTTAACTAATAAGGAGTGAAAGTCAAGATCGATAACGCCCATCTAAAAACTTGCAACGACACCTTTTGGTGCTGCGAAAGCGACGCAAATGTCTTAACAACGCAAGAGTGTTGTGACAACTCCTTTAAACTAACGCAGCCTATCGGCACTGTTGTCGCACAGCTCCAATCTGGTAAAGGAGCAATACCCCTCGCCACAGCAGCCTCGGCCGCTTCGGACTCACCTAACATTTCAGGCTCATCAAACGCCAATTCCTCGGCGGAGAACCCATCAAAGGTTTCTACCGGTGCAATAGTAGGACTAGTGATTGAAGGTATCACTATTGCTTCTGCTTTCGCGGGGCTATGGTTTATGATTTGGCGGAATAGATTGTTAAGACGGAAAGTGAAGGAGGCTGAAGCAGCTCTCGCAGCGGCAACAAGTGCACAACAACAGCAGCAGCAGCAATATCAATGGCAGTACCCTCCTCCATCACATACTACTACAGCCCCTCATATGGCCATGTATGGCTATAGTAATCCCACTGAAACGGAACCTCCCAAGAGGAGTGAACTACACTCGAGCAGCTTCACAGAACTCCCGGGGGCAGGTATTGGCACTGAGCTCTCATCTGAGACAAGAAGCCCACAGTCCCCAGATATCCCGTTACAGAGGTAACATAATCATAAGGTTGCCCTCAATATTTGTATCTGAGTGGGTAGGTATGCATCGGACGACATAACCAGCTCAAACTCAGCCGGAGTTAAAAACAATTTTTTGGGGTTAGCTTTAGGGCAATTTCGTACAAATGTATCTAATCCAATATATATACTTGGAAGATCTAATCTAGGTACGTGTACCAATATGAGATAGTTTAAAGGGGGGTGGGTCAATGGTAATGGATAGGAGTAAATTGAGACAGGAATACTGTTGACATAGTTTTCATAAAAACCATAATCTACATGCTACATAATGTTTGATTAAGCCAGGCCGCATTTGGTTATATAGGGTGTCTTCGTAGTTCACTCTCTGTTCGCTTCCAAGTGCATAATACATATTCGATGAGTTGGCTCCAGGACATATGATAAAAGTTTCAATTGTGTCTAAACCATGCCTTTGTAGATAATGTGTTGGCATTCAAAATCAGCATTCACGACCAGGAGTTGTATTCGTAAACAATGAACCGTCAAAGACCTGCATATAAGAAAAGCGTCCAGCGCACCAAAAAATCCTAGCATCACAACATCGCAGTAATCATCCCCAAAATTACTTATTTACATATTTACATCATATATCCCTTGTTAGTCAAAAATCACTATGGAGCAGACTTCTGAACAAACCCCTGGCTCTGGACAGCCTATAACCGTAGATACCGAGTACTTCGATGAGGTTCTTACACACTTCAATGAAGACGGGTATCTTATTAATAAGAATACTAGATTCAATATCAAGTGTCATATTTGCCAAACTGCACATCTAAGCCTCTTGAACCATGAGTTTGATCAAAAGTCAAGAGATACTCATGAACCTTTCGCAGTTCTACCAAGATGCAGTCATGCCTTCGGCTACGAATGCATCACGCAGTGGATAATAAAAGACATCAATATAGGTAATCCTCAGTGCCCAACATGTCGTAAGAATATCTTCAGCAGCAGGATGCAACCCGAGGTATTACCTATCTTCGGTATCTGTGAGCCCGAAGAGCAACATCTGGAGATAATCGACATTAGGGAGAGTCTTCGCAGAAGCAATACGCCGCCAGCACAGTCAGAGGACCCAGCGGAGCCAAGAGCGGCCATGGACTTGTCGAGAGATCAAGACTGGGTCATTCTGCAGAATCCTACCTTGTTGTTGCTAAGTGAAGAAGAAGAACGAAGAGCTTTCGGAATGCTGTGGGGACGGCCTGCTCCGACAGAGCGATGATAGTAGGTAGTGTCCTAAGATTAAACAGCTTGGAGTATGACTTAATTTACTAGATAGCTAAGCTGATTTGGATTGTTGCCCATAGATTAGATCTATTGGCAATGAAAAGTAGGTAGGTATTAATTAAAAAGAAAAAAAAGGAAAAAAAAACCAATTGACTAGTTGTAACTCTTTTAACTCGCTTATATCATACGTTCTATAGTGACACACAATAAATGGCTATTCGAATAATATTGTATTTACACTAAGAGCTACTCTAAGCCCGATACTATATAGCCAGTGTTCGAGGTCTTGGACTTTAGATACCAAGTCTTAGGTCAGGGGCGATCCAGAGAGCTCACGATAACACCCCCTTCATCTCCAATACCAGGAGCATCATCTCTACGGTTATCCTTCTTTTGATCTCGCCTATACATATACGCCACTATTGCCGTTATGATACCCTGCGCACCAAACAAGACCGTCGAGGAAATAAACCCTTTCCTAAACCTCGGGGAGTCTACTTGAGGGTACGTAAGTAAGGGCACCCAGGCATTAAAAGCGTAGCCCATAGAATTCATAATTCCAATGACGATGGACCGCTCTTCGGCGTCTGCGCCGCATATCTCGTTCGTCCAGCTCATGCTAAGAGGTCCGTACGGGACCGCAGCGCGCTGAACGAGGAACGCAAACCATTTTAGGCCGTCGGGGACATTCCATATGGCTAGGACTAGAGCGGCAAAGCCGCCGATGAACGTGCTGATGGACATTATACTGGCCCGTTGACGAATAGCGTCGGACACAATGGCTAGTGTGACGGTGAGAACAAGCTGGATGGCTGACATGGCCGTGGGAATGATGTTCTAGTGGTAATTCGTCGTCAATAAATCTAAGCAGTAGGTAAGGATAGCTATGTTTACTCACTATTCTTTCAATTGATTCTCCTCTTGATTTCAGCCACTGTAGATAAGAATAAAGGTCAGTCGTCGATTTTTAAAGGAGACTACCAGGTATATCCGGTACTCCTCTGGAACAATAACCTTAGGAACGTGTGAAAGGAGGGGGGCTTACAATAGCTAGAACGTTGATACTTGACGACGGTCCGATATTGATGAATATAATATATAATATCGTGAGCAAATATACGTGCCATCGACCTATCTCAGCTGTTAGTCTATATCGTGGTTTATATTGAATAAGGACTGCTAGTCTCACCGAATATGCGTTTGAAGGTGGATAGCCCTAACTTCGTGCGAGGCGCGCGCCCAACTTTATTCATGCGCTCTCTAGCCATAGCACGATCCTAAAGTTTCCCTTGTCAGCCAACTCGTAATATACTACATAATGGTATGTATATTTAAGAGACTCACATCTTCGCTCAAGTAGAAAGCCCTTGTATTTTCAGGGAGATCCGGCAGTATGAAGAATCCCGCAATGCAGATTGGGAGACTGATAATCCCGTCCATAATCTAAACATAAACGTTAGCCAAGCAACTACAAAACATCAAGAGCAATCTCTGACGTACAAAGAGCCATTGCCAGCCAGCAAACCCGTTAACTCCATTTAATCCCCGATACACGCCGGCCTGAAGATAGCCAGAGAACATGCTGGCCGCGGCTGAGGATGCGTGGAAGATGCAAGCTCGCTTCCCCAACTCCGAAGGCTTATACCACGACCCAAGGATCGTGTGAGCAGCTGGATAGAAAATTGACTCGGCCAGCCCGACAAGGAAACGGATGGCGATGACGTGGTTCGACGTCTTAGCCGCCGCGAGGCAGAATGTCAAGATAGTCCAGACAAGCTCGCACGAGGGAACCCAGACAGAGGGCCGAACCTTCGTTAGGACGATTTGCGACGGGATCTGTCCGACGACGTAGCCCACCGTCCACGCAGTGTCAACAAGGTTGATCTCGTTGCCGTTCATGCCCAAGTCCTCCTTCATCCCGCTAACAAACGCATTCGAGATGTTAGTCTGATCCAGGTTCTTGATGAAATACCCAAACGAGAGCATAGTAACCAAGAAGATGTCGAGCTTCTGGATGAACACGCGCTCCTCGTGAGACCGGCCGGGCTCGTAGTCCCAGATGTACGACCACCATGGCGCCTTGACTTTTTCCACCGGTTCCGATTCCGATCCCGACTCTTGCCGCGAAGATCCCGCGACGTCAAGGGTGGACTCGTTCACCAAGATCTCCTTGGGCGAGCCGTGCTCAGACATGGTTGGCTGGCTGCGTGAGATTGATTACCTCCTCCGCTATGTATTAGGTGCCAATTAGGTAAACCGGATATATATATATATATTCCAACCGCGCGACTTTGACGAGAAAGAGGACGAGCAATTTATAAAAATCATTTATCATTAACTAAAACCATGTTAGTAATTACCTCCGACCCTTGGTAATAGCGAAACAAAAAAAAAAGGGCGTAGTTACATACCTAAGGTATGTAGACCACCACGATACGTAGACCCTGACCCGATAACGATTGAGTAGCTTAACTTCGCCATGACGGGGTCGGCTGTCGTGATACAAGAGGGCGAGGTGCCCGTTGAATAAAGGGTTTGATTGGCTAAGTTTCGGTTGATACGCAAAATGTGTTCTAGTTCGTGCCCAGGTCGATGTCATGATTGATGTGTCCGATGGCGTAATTTGGATTGCAACTAATCGTAGGGAGATTTGTGTGGGGGAACATATACATATAACCTACCAACTTAACTTAACAGGTAGAGAATTATTAATAGCCTTTATTAAGATGCACGATTACAATGTTTTTAATAGCTTTTTATTGGCTTAGTTTTGTAAAGAGGTATAAAGGTATTCTTCAAGTCTTGATAATAGGGGCGCCTCAATATGATGATGGACTTTTAGCTCGTGTCTTTGTTATGTTTCGCACATAGACCCTTTAGTCTTTAGCTATCGCACATTTTACAATTATTGCTACTAAGAAGAAAGGAATCCTAATCTCTCCTCTTGCAATAACTTGAACCAGTTATTAGGCTCATTCTAAATGAAATTGATGGTAGGTGCACCACGCAATACCAGTATCTAAGAGGTATTTATCAAGCCGGCCAAGTTAAGCAGCGCGCCAGTTGACATGTTATTTAGTGTTTAACTGCGGTAAAAGGTTGCAATCAAGTTCTTTTTGGAGAAATATAAGTCCATAAACCCAGCCAGAGATTTTGCAGCCTACCCTATCGAGTATCTCCTTACGCTAGGTAGGGACACGAGGACTCGGGTCTTGGACTATATCAATTGACGTATCGATACGGAGCCGAGTATATCATAGATGTGTTCTAAGACCAACGCCGTCGGTGCAACATCAAATCTTACAAAGAAGTTGTAAGAGCGGGAGGCTATGAATATGCGAGGTCAGCAAGTACTTCATCAAGATCGTTAGATACCTATATAACCAATGAAGAATCAATCTGGGCTTCCTGTGTTACACAAAAATGCAAGTGATATTACTTCTGGGGAAACGTACCGTAGATGATGTACGCTCACGAGCCGCATCAGCGACATAATGCAGGAGTAACGTCATAAACCTGTCTATATATATCCTGAGGGCATCTTAGAAGACGAAATCATAATTCTTAAGCTACCAATATGGAATAGCACATGTCGTAAAGTCATCGTTCATTATATTTTCGTTTGCCATGGCCGTGATAGCCTCTCCAAACCCAGCCTCACAAGACATCACACAGTGACAAGTCTTTCTTCTGAAATCGCTCCTGCTACCGGGGCTCTATATGTTTGATTAGTCTTTATTGGCCTGAGGTCGATTCCCTCGATGTCGACATCTCCCCCGCCCCTTGTCCATAACGTCGTTGCATCCGAGGCGTATTCGTTTGTTCGGTTTTGTGGTCTCTCTGGACCCCTGGTTCGAGGAACGTTCTTCAAAACATCGGGCTTGGAGGAGGGCTTGAGACCCATCAACTGCCTGACCAAGGGCTTCAGCATTGGTACCGAGGCGCATACCAGACCTAAGCTCGACTCTAACGTGGTCCAGATCGCAAATGAAAACGAGTCCCACTGAGCGTATTTGGGGTTGAGAAATTCCCATGCAACAGCCATTCTTGTCAGAGAGGCGCAAGCTACAAATATACCCAAAGTTAAGACGAATGCGAGAGCGACTTTTTGTCGTATAGGTAGCGTCATTTTAAGTATATGAGGGAGCACCATTCCAATCATCCACACATCAGTTGTTGTATGCAAGGCAGCTGACGCTGTTAGAATCGGGTAGTAAGCTAGACAATGTCCCACTCTGATATCGAATTCGTATCTGTTCTGTACGGGGTTGCACAGGAAGAAAGTGAGAAGGAAGAAGACGATGCCGTAGACCACGACACAGCCCATGGTGATAAATACGAGAACTCGTTGATACGGTATTTTTAAGATGCGCAGGTAGAACAACAGAATGCTGATCTTCGTTAGGACTAACGACACTTGGTAACTGCTGATCGTCGCGTATGATAGTCGGATGCCAACCGGTCGCAACCGAAGAGGGATATTACTGAACTTGTGGCCGAGCCCATATTCGGTTTCGACGCCGACGATTGCGACCAGCGCGATGGCGAATAACCACGCGAAGAATATAGCCGCATCGTCCCACCAATGGTTTTTCAGTAGAAATCTCGAATAAAGACGGCCGATGACTACGAGACTTGCGAAGAATATCGGAATGATGATTCCGGCAAGGAGGTCAGGGACCTGGGAAGGACCCGTAAGCTGTTACGACGGTTGTAAGTAATTTATATTTATACGTTCCGATGCCATGGTTCTGGATCTACTATAAATGGCGGGGATTACCTACCACTTCCGGCGCCTGTTGGGCCATTACGGAAAGATGTCGCGATGAAAGTAAAGTGCGAATTGTCGCACGCCGGCGAAGGCGAAGAGCGGAGCAATGGAGTGAGATGGACCTAGTCACTTACTTATTGGAGAGGCGACACCAACGTTAATATATAACGTGGTGGGATTTCCTTTAAAGTTTCATGTTACCGTGACCTCTAAGCGTCAGCACAAACTGGCGATCACTCGATGGGGAGGGATCTAATTGCTACCTAGGTATGTATGGCTACTACACAAAAGTTCAGTGCTGGCTGGGAGGCTGGTTAGTCATTATTTCCACGTCCAACCAATGAAGCAACTGCAACGAGACTTGTCCTCGAAGATGCTGCTGATAGGGTAGCATTCGGTATCATAGTTGCATGGTGGTGGCCATGTCTTTGGACCGAAAGCACGTTGGTTGATCTAGGTATTTCCCACCCATACTCGTGAGCTGTACTCCCATACATAGGGCTGGCTCGTATAAAAATAATCACAGCCAGCCAATAGCAAATCCATATCCCCATGTCGAACCCCGTATCCGTAACAGGGGGTTTAATACGTACATACAGCAAAAAGAAAGTTGCCAAGAGATGTTTACCTATGGACTGACGAAATTCTGCAGATGCTAAAGAGATGCCATCGTAGATTCTGGGGTCTTATGTAATTCGATGATTGGGATTTACATATTTAAACAGCAGAGCAGCCAGAGCCATAGCACGTCTTTGCTCATGAGTACCTATCGTGAGGTCACCAGTCCGGGGTGTGGTGAGAATATACTATTTTCGGAATCGATACTAAGGCTAGTCGATATTGCTTCCAGTCATATTCAATCGCAATACCTACCCCATGCCATAAAAGAGAAGTCGAATAATAAGATAACTACCTACCCAGGTTAGGTATTAGCTACCTTTCTATCTCAGCTTCGCTAACATCTAAGCAAGCATCGTAGCGTGAATCGTGAATCCTGAGATCTAGCTCCAGCAGCAGGCGGCCTCCTGGGATAACGACTCGAACATTCGATTGGAAGTCATTCACTTTTAGCAACCTCGAATAATGACCAAACGATACTCACGAAGGGCGGTGAAAAAAAAATCCTCGTGAGAATCTTGAGTGGCTAAGTCAAGAGCGCCGAGGCTTTGGTTTTATATTCTAATGTTACCCTACCCCACTGCGTATTTGCTCGGCTTTCCAAAGAATGGTTTGGATGACAGTCAGATACATACTAAGATGAATATTTAGTTACGATTGAGATAGAAGATTTGATCGGAGCTCAATTTAGACGCGTCTTGTCGGTATATAAGATATATCTACCTGACAAATTGTCCAACCAGGTGTTTAACTTACGAGGGATTGTAGGAGTCAAAGCCATACCAGCCATTCCCCCAGCTCAATCCTATGATAGGTACAAGCCGATCAAATCGTCTTTAGATCAGCAATCGTCTTGCGGACGTAACGAGTTTTCTCTATTACTTATCATGACGTGAGTAGAAAATGCGAAAACAGCTACATACCTACGTTTTCGCGCCAAGAACTACACCCTTAATTAGGCTGAGATCACTGATTAGTTAAGGTACCTATAAGTAACGCGTCTTTCTGCGTCTTACTGGCCCCGAAGTAGATCTCCTAAACATCACTGACGCACCAGCGCCTTGTCTCACCTCGCGAAATAAGCACTATATCGATAGCACGAATAATATGACGTCGATAGCAGGGCACATCGAGAGCCAGTTACGATCTTTCCCAATACCTAGTTACATTAACAGGCTACGGGAACTTGCGAATCCGTCGGTTAAGAGCCTATCAATGGCTCAGAGAGGAGAATTCTCAAGATTTCAAGGCTAAATAACGTATTGCTACGTAGAAACTGGCCAATTAGAACATGGGTTGGGATTTGAATGGTAGGATTTTAGTTGTAACCTCGAATATATGTATAATCAGGGGCTTGGCCCCATCGTAGGCTCGACCCATTGAATAACGTTTGACAGTTTTCAAACTCAGGATCTATGTAGTATGGTCGATTCCATAATTAGGAGGCTAGTCCTAGCCGAATACCAAAATGATATATACGTCTATGGTATGCGTTGGTACTTTGCCTCGAAGGAGCTTCAGTAACTATATGAGTTAGTTACACTGCCTACGGTATGTTGTCTTGACGGTACAGTTCCCAACGCGGTTATACGACCGAATAGGTTTGCGCTGGCGTCTCTCTATTGGAGGTAGACTTTGAGGGGTTGTATGGGGGTTTCAATTAGTTACATGATAAGTTGAATCGGAAGTAACTATTAGTCAATGGCTGGCTGCATAGGTAGTGTCTTCTAAAGGGTTCAATGATAATGTATCCAGCAACTTAAGCTAGGTCGCGGGGTAGTTATAATGGATTGGCATGTAAGCTTAATGAATTCTATATAAGACGCTAGATGTAGAGTATATGTTAAATATCGAAATCCCATATTTCCTTTAAGTCTATAATGTATATATGAGTATTATGAACAGTACAGTGCAAGATATTGGGCTATGGAGACAAGTTGGTTTTCAATAAATAAGATCTAAGCGAAGCTCGGAAAGGAGTTAAAGTAAAGTAGGAGGTATGTTTGTGTATCTTGAACTCTATTGAAATTTAATGGTGAACTTGAATTAACATCTTTAAAGAGAGTTACTATGAAAATTTTTTTTTTTGACCGCGAATACTATTCATTACCTAGGTATCTTTGAAAGACGGGAATAAATATCCTATTAAGCGGCTAATGTCTTAAAGTCCGGGTACCTGCAGCTCGATATCGAAGTAACAAAGGTGCAAGTATCCGGGATCATATTATCAATGGAATGCGGCAAACCCTATCAGAACCGCAAGTGAGCATTCACATTACATCATAACAACATAGCGATAGTGTAACGAATTTTATATTATTTATTTTATGTTGTTGGAGCGCGATGACGGAGCCCCGGCGCTTCAGGGAAATAAGACGGACTCAGAAATCAGCCACGTGCGTCACTTGGGTCAGCGACATGGGAATGAATAATAACTCAATTCTCTAGAATTTCCGCATCGCCGCAATCATGTACCTCATATACGTAAGCCTTTTCGATACCGGACATGCGAAGCGAAGCAAGGACCAGCGGTCTTGGGCTCTCATGCAGAATTTGCACACAAAATAGCGGCGACGCCGTCGCTGAATGGTCGTGATAGTCCCGATGGTCCACAACAGCTACAATCATCAGCAAGATGACGTGTCGACAACTGCATTATTGGAATCCGTTAGTGAACCAATATGCGATCAACCAGAGAAATCATAGTTGGGATTTCTTCTCCCACCCACTGATATACTGGAGTATTCAGGGGGGTTCTAAGTTGACTTCGGTATCGTGAAATACCTATACGTAAAAGTCGGGTTAGTTATTGATCTTATTAAACCTAAGGAGGTGAAAAAGACTTGGCCGTAGTTCTTTAGTAGCACTTGGCAATATTCGAATATCTTGGGAGACCCGGTGATTTAGAAGCGCATATTAAAAATTCGATTGGGAGTAACTAAGAACTGCAAGATTACCGACCTCTAGCCTCTAGTTTTTAGTCTCTAACTTCTAGCCTTTAGGTACATGAGTAGTATACCTTATGTAATTAAGTAGGGTAGGTAGGGTTAGCGGCCTACGATAACATTAGGGGTAACCATGTAAGTCTGCAGGTCTGTCAAACTAAACGGGCTTTGAGGCTTGACTAATAAAGTTAGTCAAGTTAGTAAATTCGGAAATTTTCAATTCCCCCCAAATCTTTTCGGACCCCTTATTTTAGGTACTTGTTCTAACTTCCTAATATCCTCTCTTTCTTTTATCCACGAAGCAAACCTGTTACACAAACTTAACTCTTCGTCGCATGCCAAGACGGGAGAAGATACTATCTTAAGATACAATCCTATCTAGGCCTTAATTGACTTCTCCTTTGTGTATCCAAATGACCAATACAAAATTTCTCGCTTGAGAATCCTCTGCTTCCTATCGTTCAACCAATCTATCAACGTTAGTGTATCGACGAGTCAATGTCCTGATCTGGCCGATCGAAACGCATGCGCTAAAAAGCTTGGTACTGACGAAATGAGCAGAAACTGGGGTTAATAAAGGACCATCCTATCATGGCGCAATACCTACGACCACGATTATTGCCCGCGAGTGGGTATTTGCCAAGTTAGGTAGCATGGTAGCATGGTTGTAGCCTTTGCGACGATCAGGCCTCTCGTAGTCTATCATGGTCTATCACTATCCCATGGAAATCACCCATGGAATGAAGGGGTCGCAGGAAAGAATAGGCCTTGACAGGCTTGACAGGCTTGACAGGAAATAAATCAGACCAAGCCCCAGTACTCCTAATGTGGCATGTGGTGTGTTCCTATTGATGGTTCCTGGCTTAGCCGCAGATCCCCCTGATCTTGGCCCCTTCTGGGAATAGATGGGAAAATAGATGGGATACATTCAATCCCACGTCAAATTCGCTATGTCGGGCAAGTCACTGATTCATGCAGACTGCAAGGTACAACACTCTAGACCAAAGTCACTTTATCCAATCATATATCCTCCTAGACCAGCCAGCCAGCCCAGCACGAGTCGACAAGATCCTTGGCCAGTGACATCCTTGTCCTTTTGTGGCGTCTATCTTTGAAACCGACATTCTGTTCCCACTCCCTCCACGTCGCCCCAAGTTCCTGACTGTAGTCTTTAATCTCATTTACCCACCCCCTTTCCCACTCGTTAATTCCCTTCTTCCTCTCTTGTTGACCTTCAATAATCATTGTCGTCGTCTTTCTTTGCCCGGAAGCAATTCGCTGAGTCATTCATTGTAACGGTGATTTTTCACCACGTCGCTCCTTAACAAACAAACATTCAATTCAGGTCAGCCGAGGAGGTTCTACTTAGTGTTTCTTAACTTACCTTTTTAGGTGTTTGCTTGTCCACGTTCTCTTCATAGCCTGTTGTACTTCCGGCCCAGTTTTCGAGAGAAAGGTGCAGCCCAACGTATACGTAAAAAATAATATTAACGGGTCAGAGACGCGAAATATCTCTATACAAAAGAGCATATATCCTTGGATAGCCTCACATTTGGGAAGAGCAAACATTATTATCAAGGACTCCCTTTCTATCGCTCACGATGAAGTACTCGACCGCGCTCGTCGTGGCCACGGCCTCGGCAGCTAACGCAGGCTTCTGTAACGATGCCTTTGAAGAGTTCGGAAACTTTTTCTGCCCTAATGCGGTTAAGCAGGTTAAGTACAGTGGTCTCGACATCGCTGGAAAGTACCGCGCCGTCGCCCAGATGGACAACAGTGGACTATGCACGTTCCAGGACAAGGACTACTCTGGCCCCATCGCCCCGTTCGACGAGGATGTGAGTACCAATTCCTCTTCTGCGGGTAAATTCTCTCACTTCTAACGCAAGCGCAGTTGACTTTGCACTTCCGAGGTCCTCTCGAACTAAAGACTGTCGCTGTCTTCACTCCTTCTTCGGGCGCGTCCAAGCGTGAGGTCCAGAGACCTCACTCCAAGCGCCATGGTCACCAGCACCTTCACAAGAAGCACCACGAACACGCCAAGGCCGATAAGCGCGACGATATGGTCGTGGCTACGATCGATGGTCAGGTGGTTTCATGGGTGAACAATTATTTCGGTGGTGGTGCCGAGACCCCTGCCCCCGCTCCGGCTCCCGCAGCTACGGAGGCCCCTGCTGCTTACCCTGTTGCCCCTGCACCCGACAGCAGCTCTGAAGCGCCAGCTCCGTCGCCGTCTAAGTCTGCCCCCGTCGATGTTCCTGCTGGCGACTTCCAACGTACCGCCTACTACAACTCTAAGGACCAGACTGCCGATGGTCTTGTTTTCCTCGGTAACTTTGGTGACCCGGCTATTTCTGGTACTTGGGATACGTGAGTGCGAAATAATCACGAGCGAAAGTTCTAGCGACTAACTTGTTTATAGTGTTTGGGGTGCTAGTTTGGCCTACGCCAACGAGGATGGTACCAAGGCTGCTCCCTCTCCCACCGTTCTTAAGGACTGCCGTATCGATGACACCAAGGAAATCATTATCGCTTCCGACGAAAAGTGCGATGACAGCTGTGGTGCCGTTCGCCCCGGCTCTGTTGCTTACAGTACGTTTGCCCCTTGAAATAGAGTATTATCGGGATAAATGCTAACAACCATGCAGAGGGATTCGGTGGTGCTAACAAGGTCTTCCTTACTGAGTTCGCTATGCCCCTGAGCGGACAGACTGGTTGGAACATGGACATGCCCGCATACTGGCTGCTAAACGGTGCCATTCCACGAACGGGCCAGTACAGCAAGTGCAGCTGCTGGTCTGGTGACAACTCGAGCCCCCAAGAGGGTGGCTGTGGTGAGGCTGATATCATTGAGGTCCTCCGCTCCGGTGACACTAAGGCCAAGTCGACTTTCCACTTTGCTGCTGGCACTGGTGACTCCCACTACTTCGACCGCCCGACCGATAAGACCATGAAGGTTGCCGTCGTCTTCCAGGCTGCCTCGTCCACCGCTTCTATCAAGGTCCTCGACGACGACTTTGACATGACCGGCACCAGCCTGACCTCCGACCAGGTCGAGGACATGATCAACGATGAGCCTGATATCAACCTCTTCAGCTTGATGAGCTTCGGCGTGTAAAAATTTTCAGGTGGTCACGAGGGACGAGGGTGACAGGGGAAGGAACGGAGGAAAGGAAAGGGGGGTGATGGTCTGGGGACGACGGTTGACGTCTGCTTCTAGGCTTGGTTTTTTATGTGTTTTCTACGATGGATATAGGAGCAGTTTTGCAATGTGTTTTTCTGCACCCGATATTCCCCTTTTTGCATATTTTGATTTGATTTGATTCTACAGCATCAGTAGTTGTTACCCCGTCCCGGAGTGTTTGTTTGAAGCGTGAAGTTGCCGTTGTTGTTGTTGTGAAGTGGGCCAAATGTGATCTTTTGGGGATCTCTGCATGTTTAGAGGTGGGCCGGCTAGATTCCTTTGGCGTTGGAAGAAGGTTTGCTCCCCAAGAAGATTGCGCGGGCCTGTCGTGATACCATGAGGCTCTCCATGGTCTCGGGAACAACCCGAGACAGATCTGGTGTTCCGTGATACTTCGCTTAATTTACCTACTTCCCGATTGCAGACTCGTAACTTTTATCCCGGTCGATATTTTAATGGTATACCTTGTGTATCTATCTATCTATTAGGTATCTTATGTTGCATTAGGATTTATTATAATAGCCTATTAGAGCGAACCTTCTTCACAGACAAGACTTCCACGGGTAATCCTTTGCCAATTATAATGTTGCGTAACATTCCCCCTTCCCCCCTCCCCCCCTCCCCTTCACCTTTCTAGATTGGTTTAGAGTCAGTCATACGTTCGACAGCGTCTATTTTCGCACGAGCAATCATCTATGTATGTGCGACACTGTTGGGAGGGTAGGGCACATCGAAGTAAGGGGGAAGAAGGATGGGATGGACAAACCAAAGTTCTGGAGTTCTGGAGATGAACCCCGCTACGTGCCGTTGCGCAGGATTGCTCCGTGGGCGATAGTAGAGCGTGCTGCGGGATAGAGTATATGATGCAGCGTCGTGAAACTGCTTCCCCTTGTCCCCTTTCCTAGGACCCGAGTGCCAGGTTTGGGAACGTTTGTCAGTTATTGGAAATTTATATTCCCCTTTCGGAGATTGTGAAGGTTTTAGCTATTGGATATGTTTTTATTTAGTTGCCCTATTCTGGGATGAGGCATGATGGCTACCATTTAACTAGATGCAATAGGGAGGTTGCATAGGTAATCAGCTAAATATCCGTATGAAAATATCCTTACGGTAGATTTTAGATAGGCATGATTGCACGCATGCGTATTTCACGTCTGGCACTTAAACGCTGTTGAGCTACTATACAGTAATTCCGACCAAAGTATTTTCGGGTGGTAAACGACCCTTATGGTGTACATGCCTCAAACATCGAGGCTTTACCAACGAACATCAATAAGAAGCCATAGGATTCTTAGGACCTATCCAAATAAATATTAGGGATAAAATAACCTAATTTTAAGTCAACCTCAAAGATAAGGTATCTCTCAAAAAGGTAGTGGCTAAATCCATTCAGAACAACGAGCGTCGAAATATTAATATAAGTGTTGAAGCTCGACGGCTTAGCCACCCGGAATAAGCATAGACAGATACTTCTTCGTCTTACCAAATGAAAATCGAACACCATAGCTAGCGCAAGACCATCCGCCTCGTTAATATCGATTATCCCCGGAGAAATATCTACACTAGGGGTCGGCATTCGTAAGGCTAGGTCGTTCGCCCCGGCGTCTCCGAGGCGTGGTTTAGTTATACACCGATACTAGAGACGGATATAAAAATAGTTAATCTATATAGTCTATGCATAGATAGACTATGAAGACCGACAGGTATTTTAAGTCCCTCTCGTATTTGGTAACCCGTAGAACCAGATGTCTTGCGTAAACAACTTGACGGAACGAGTAGCTTCATAAAAACTAGAAGAGCTGGCTATGACTTCGTAGTAATTAGAGCGACTAGTACCCCAAATAACCCCCATGGCGAGCCGAGTGCCGGCACTGGGGAAGCGTGTCATCATGGCACGTAGTAGGGCAATGATAGACTGCCTAAGGCAATTGGTGGATTGATTGCGGCTCCAATGGTGCAGCGGCGATATATGCGCTTAACTGCTGTCGGTTAAGCCGGTAGGCTACGGTAGATCCTAACGACGTCACTTGAATATAGAATGAACCGCCGTATGAGAAGAGTTTTTATTGTCGCTGTTGTTAGCCCTATTTAGGCACCATGTCATCACGGTAATAGTATAGCAAGTGATCTCCGTATTTTTTTCATGTGGAACATTGAGTAGAAGCAATATTGGATGCCAAGTCTGAGCATCTCGTCCGGGTGGGCATTATTGGGTGAGAGATTTGACAGGGTTGACTTTTGTAAAGATGGATCGGAGATCGCCCTGTAGCACTAAAGCTACCGAGTTTTTCTGCGGGTCGCATCTAGTGTCCATGATGCTTGAATAGTGGGTAGAGATGGAAGTATTGTGCCTGCTTAGCTATCGTATAAAGGTAGCTGCAAGTGGTATCCTTCTGTTGGGTCGTTTGGTCACCAGCGGAGTAAATGCTCCGTTTAGGAGAGTAACCAGCCCAAGACTTCTGTATTTGGCAGATATTTGCAACAATCGAGAGTTTAATCGCCACTGCTTTCATAAATCCAAACAGGTAGTTTTCCTACTTCTTGAAAGACGTCACTACCTCCTATAAGTAGCACCTAACTTGGGTAGTCTTCAAAATGGATGTCGTAGTTATACTCGACTACGAAACATCTGAGACGTGTTATAAACGCCCTGAGAAGACCAGGGGTTATCATCCATATTGTGACTTCTCATTTGAAATCCGAAATAGATCGTGTTAGTACAATGACACCCAGAAGAATACCGAATTCCGAAGCCGACCTCAGTCGTCAAGATAGACATTTCGAGCCAGATATCCTTGCGGAGCTACCCGATACTGTTTCAGATCAGCTCCCAAGCGTGTCCCAGCGCAGGTCTAACTTACCACGTATTATCGATTCCAAAGAGTCGAATCAGAATCGCAGTTCCAATCCAGCAACTACAAACAAGGACCAACGAGCAAAAGAGAGAGTACGAAGGGTAGCCAATAACGGTTCACGAGAAGAGCCCTTATTATGGATTGACGATGGGTATTACGAAGCAAACCCATGGCATGGCCGGATGAATAAGAAGCCAATTTTTAGTCTCGGAGCACCTTTGCCACGTAAAGTCCGCTGGGCTAAGGAACCAGTTGACGTGCCTACTGGGTCTGTATCTAAGTCTCCTGAAGACCTAGTAGAACTCGGCGAGGTCGACCTTGATGGCGTAGGCGGGCTAAATGTAGAGAGGCGGGAGAGCACGGTAGAGAGTGAGGACTCGGGGTTTAGAAGGACAGCTGCTGGGGTCACTCATGGTGACAGATATAATGATGCCGGACAGCCCGTCTTCGAATATCAACCAGGGGAAGAGAACTCTACCCACAGAGAGCGTACGAATAATACGCACGATACTAACAGAAGTAACAAAGAGGACCTACGCAATTACGGAATCGACAGTGAACCACTAGGCCAGCGGGAACATGGCGACGTGGAGGAAGGGGATAGGGACCCGGATGAGTTTCGTAACTGGTGGGCCCGTATACGAGCTAAGCATCCTGAGCCATTGGCTGAGTTTCTTGCGGTATGTCTTTCCAGCACTCTTTTCAAGCAGCTCGAATTAACTAGGTCCACAGACAGGAATAGCTGTGTTTATGGGATTAGGAGCAACCCTGTCTGTAAACCTCTCTGCTACCCAAGATGTAAAATATGGTACCTATGAAACTTCATGCTGGGCATGGGGCTTTGCTTGGATGTTTGGCATCTACCTTGGAGGTGGTGTATCCGGTGCTCATATGAACCCAGCTATTTCGATTAGTTTATCGGTATTCCGCGGTTTTCCATGGCGGTCATGCCTCATCTACGTGGTTGTGCAATTCGTTGCCGGCATTGCTGCCGGGGCTTTAGCTTATGGTATCTATAGAGATACGATCAGATATGTCGACCCTACTATGGCTAATACGGCCAAAACCTTCTTCTCGAATCCCCAGGAATGGGTATCGCTTGGCACGGCTTTCTTTGATCAGATTGTCGGTAGTGCAATTATGATGATTGCTGTTTTCGCTCTGGGAGACGATCAGAACAACCCTCCCGGTGCGGGAATGCACGCCTTGGTAAGTAGTTCCTCATTGGTAGAGCATGATGATGACGAACTAATACCCGGTCACATCCTCTTAAATCTCTTTTATAATAATCTTTGACCAATAGTTCTAACGGGGAAACTTAGGTACTTGGACTTTTAGTCACTACCCTGAAATTTACTCTCGGGTATACAATAGGATCAGCACTGAACCCAGCTTCGGACTTTGGCCCAAGAGTCGTAGCCTGGGCAGCAGGCTATCGAGGCCCGGAAGTTTTTCAAACAGGATGGTGGTTTTACGGCCCATGGCTTGCTACTCTGATTGGATCCTTCATCGGATGTGCCTTATATGATGGCTTCATCTTCGTCGGAACTGAGAGTCCGATCAACTATAGGATAAAGGGTGGCGTCAAGAAGCGAACTCGAAAGATTTTTGACTTTGCAAGAAGGAAGTGACGATATATACATTTATACTTTTTAGCAGTGTAGAGATTTGGAGAGTTAGTTATCACTATCAAAAGTTGTGACTTTAGATCATGTGGTCCAAGCGTTACGTCTATAATTTAATCTAATTGGGTGGAGATATTAAAGAGATTAGATTAGTAACTACCTAGGTACCTATATATCACGTGCGAAGGATCGGTTACCGCTATGACCATAACCGAAAGAAAGTGCGGCTGGTATGTGGTTGTCAGGGCGTTCCATGACAAAATACCGAGGTCCTTCCTTTAACCTTTTTGCCTCTCATTCTTTAACCGTGAACTTCTGACTTTCAACCCTCATTATCGCAACGCCCGGTTCGCAACGTCGTCTCCTATAGCATCTCGGAACACCGTGATAGATTGAAGTTGCTTCAATTACAATGGCTTCGCCGCCTAAGCCTTGGGAGCGCGCAGGCGCGACTGGTAAGTTCTGATTTCTATTGTTATTTTAACTTCGCATGTCATTACCATTTATTGTTTCTGTTACTTACTTCCTCTAGCCAATCCTATTGCTTCAGCAGCAACACCGACACAGAATGCTATCAATACACCATCTTCAGCAACTACTGCAACTTCTGTTCCGGGCATGCCGGCCATTCCTCCCCGTCCTGACTCCCTAAACTCAACCGTGAACCAAAACGCGTCGGCTTACAGTCGAGCGCCATATAATGCCGCGTATAGCCCGTATTCGTCACCCTATAATAGGTATGGAGGTTACGGTGGTGGAATGTATGGTAGTATGGGTGGCTATGGTGGCATGTCCAGCATGTACGGTGGTGGGATGTATGGGGGAATGCCCGGCATGATGCCAAATGACCCGAACAATCCCAACACTCTGGCCAACCGTGTTACTGATAGCACCCAAGCCACCTTTCAGTTGTTAGAGGGGATTGTTGGCGCCTTTGGTGGCTTTGCACAGATGCTCGAAAGTACATATATGGCGACCCATTCAAGCTTCTTTGGTTAGTCAAGTTTTATGAGACATATATTACGAGGTAGTCGCTAACCAAGTGATAGCTATGATATCTGTGGCTGAGCAGTTTGCTCTCTTGCGCAACACCCTTGGATCGGCCCTAGGTATTTTCACCATCATGCGATGGTTTCGCACGCTTTTTGCGAAGTTGACTGGCCGTCCACCCCCTGTTGACGCTATGGCACTTACACCGGCAGCCTTTGCCCGCTTTGAGGGGCGTCAAATGCCACCTGGTGCTGGAGGTCAACCTAAAGCCAGCCGGAAGCCTCTTATTTTCTTTCTCCTCGCTGCATTTGGTTTGCCTTATATTATGAACAAGATAATCCGATCTCTTGCTCAGCAGGAGGAGCGTAAGCGCCTTGAGTTCTCGAGTCAAATCGCGCCTCTGGATCCTAACAACCTTGAATTCTGCCGTGTCCTCTACGACTTTACCCCTGAAGCCGGCAATGCTACCCAGGGAGTCGATCTCGCTGTTAAGAAAGGTGATTTTATTGCAGTCCTAAGCAAGAGTGATCCTTTAGGGAATCCTAGCGAGTGGTGGCGCTGCCGAGCTCGGGATGGACGCCTTGGATATCTGCCTGCAACATTCTTAGAAGTGGCTAAGAGACCTGGCCAACCCATCGCCGCCATTAAAGCAGCTCCGAGCGAACCTGCGTCATCTGAGAAGACAGTCCCCAAGCCACCCGTCGTCACTAGTAAAGCAGGAGATATCTCTGCTGAGAGCTTTCAAAAGTCACAATTTTATTCCTAGGCAGATAAAGATGTGGATAAACAGATCGCTCAATTACTAAGGCAACTCGGGGAACATGATGGGCTCCCCACCTCCAAAGAGGATTTTCAGCAGCAGAAGGGGGCTAAGGTGATTGTAGACGCGAGTCGAGATCAAAAGCAGCGCAAATTTCATAGCAAGGCTAATCCTCATTCAACAAATTCCGACTGGGTCCCATCCAAGGCACGACAGAATATACGTCCGCATTTCCAGCCTCTAGCTCCTATTTCCCACGTGGCCTCTACCGCTCCATCAGTGACACCACCACACCCGTTTATCCTCGGACACCCGCCCCAAGTCGCCAAAAGATATGATAAGTTTACCAATGCTCACAAGTATGATACCACTAAGCCGAAACGGGTGCCCATAACCGACATAGAACGGAGATCTAAACTGGAAGCAATATGGATAGCGTCACGAGAATTATTGTCGCGGGACATGAATACTTCTTCTCACCTATAAAATTTAAACTAGCGTGCAGCATATTTCGGACGTGGCATTGAGGCATACGTAACGATAGCCATAGGCTATTAATGAATGATAGGATACGCTAGGATGTGAAGATGGGTCGTCAGGGGGGTTACAACAATGATGCCCTGATTTTCTTTAAAGTCAAGTTTATGTTTAAGGGGAGATAAGTGAAAACGCGAGTTCGGAGTTATGTGGGCAGCCATGGTCTGGGTTGTTTTCCCATTGGTAATGTTCCCACGCTGAGCATGTCCGCTGGCGTTCGGGACTCCTCCGGAGTATAGGGGATACATACCAATTGCTTTCGTTGCGTAGGGTGGTAGAGGAATCAAATTATAATGATTCTCTGGCTTAATAACATAATTGTGCCAAGGGCGACTACTAAATAAATTTACTATCTGTCTGATATAGTGCTAGACATAAACATCTTTATGATTGAGTATCTGATTGCCACGTTTATAGTAATAGTTTTACTTGTTAAGGATAAATTATAGAAGATCTAAGGTGGAACAAATCCCACACAGCGTTATATTGTCAAATAGTATTCAACTTTACCTTATTTTGAAGTATAGTACATGCTACGAACAGGTTAGAGAAACCAATTTTCTATTTTCTAGTCTTTATTTCGATAATTAAAAAATATTGGTAGGTAGCCATGTTCTAACACGAGACGTCAACAACTTATCCAACATACCCCAACAAATCATCCCAAGATCATCAATAGTCCCTTATATGTACAGAAAACAAGCCGATCAAGTGCATCAACAAAAACACGTCAGAAAGTCTACAAAGTCTTCATTACTTCTCATCATTCCAACGTAGTATCGAACAAATCTATGCTGACGGCATCCCAATTGATCTCATCTCGTTACACCCACCACCATCTTACATCGTACTATACACTTTTTACACCTCTCTATCTAGATAGGTATGTGTGGCAAAATAGCACACACAAAAACCTCATTGGTAAAATAACTACTCAAGCCGCAACCCTAAAGTCTGGTGTACCAATGTCTACCTATCTGATATGTATGTTCCCCTCTACCTGCCAAAGTACGCCTTCTCGATCGCCCTAAGGCCAAGATAGCTTACTGCTGCAAACCCAAATGCCAGCTCGAAGCCTGCGTCGCCGCCGAACGGTGCAGCACCACAGAGCTTGCCTATGGGGCCCGTGAACCACTGCTGTGCCATGCCTAGCACGGCACCACCAACACCTACACAAAATGCCGTGACGGCGGCGAAACCAGGGGGTAAACGTGAAGGGTTGGCGTAGTCTTCGGGGTTATACCGGGTGAAGGAGCCGCGCCGGAAAACAAAGTGCTCCGTCAAGGAAACACCCTCGTAGATAGCTAGCCAGTAGCCAATGATAAGCATGAAACTTTCGAGCGTATCTTCGAAGTGGTCGTACCCCGGGATTGCAATGGCGATATATACAGCCGTGCCTAGTAAAGTCCAGATGAAGCGCGGTACTCGTTGTGTCTTCTCTGATAATACTTGTAGCGACAATGAGACCGAGTATGCATTCGGGCAGTTGTTCCCAATGATGGAAAGGCCCAGCATCACGACGCAGAACTCGCCGAAGCGGCCGAGACGCGGTACGAGGACTTGAGCTAGTAGACCGCCAATATGTGCGTCTTCATAAGCTTCCACATAGGTTTCGTTCGTAGCCATCGCCGTAGCTACAGCAGCGCCGAGAAGCTCGGTGAAACACAGAGCGACGAACAAGCCGGCAAAAGTCCATAGGAAGATAGATTTCCGGGAGCGGTTCACTGGTTGGTATACTGTATAATCAGCAGCGTAGGACGTCCATCCCGTTGCAAAACCATATACCGACGCCGCAAAAGACAGTACGCCACCTGCCTCACTAGGTCCAGTCTCAAGCGGAAGTAAGCTGTTGAATTCGCCGGAGTGGGCAAAGGTACCTAATACGATCATGAACATTACAAATACCGGGATCCAGGACCATTTCTCGTAGGCATGAACGATTTTGTAGCCGAATGTGCAGATGGCTAGTGTTGCAAAGGAGATAACCAGGATGCCAGCCCAGCCAGGTACATCTCCATTAACCGCGTGGAAGAACTGAGCGCCAACTATGACATTGACTGCAGACCAACCAATACATGCCAGGATATTGAATATGGCAACTGTAGAGTAACATAGTTAGATAAATGGCTCCTGGTATAAGTTTCAGGGGTAATTATTTGCTCCCGTAAACTTACTTAATTTAACACCGTAGAAGCCAAAGTAGAATCGAGACAGCACCATCTGTCGCAAGCCGAACCGGGGACCAAAGGTTGAGAAGAAGCAGACGGGCATGATACCCAGGAGGTTGATAAATATGATAGTCAAGGCGCTGTCCACAAACCCTAGATTAAACACGGGACGCGCAAGAGCGCCAATCGCAAACGATGAGACGACCATATTGGCCGAGAACCACTATACCAATTGTCAATAAAATAAAATAAAATAAAAACAAGGGAGTCCGTAGATGCCATACCAGTGTGCCGACCTGGGTCATACTCGAATCCGTCCTCTCATCACTAGGAACACGCTCAATGCCTCTCTGCTCCACGCCAAATTTACCCGCGAACCGCTGGAGCTTAGCATACACCGACTTGCCGGCGGTGAGTTCCTGGCCGTGAACGGCATTGCCGTCGCTGACGTAACCGAAGCCATAGTCGATATCAGGACCCTTAGCCTTCTGTTCGGATTCGACGTCGTCGGCCCTCATATTTCTGTTCAGCGACATTTTGCGCGTCCGAAAAGGGGGCAGAGCAGGAAGAGACGAAAATACTACTACTACTGGTGCTCAGGCGGAGGAACGAATGATTGGCTACCCCAGGTGTAAGTCAGCTATTGACATGTAGCTTAGGTATGTACCTATGTATGTAATAGCTGCAGTAGGTTCAATCCCGCCGCGTCAGTAGCGAGGCGCGGAAAAATAAAGATAATTAATCTGCCCACTTAGACTTAGAGTTTGCTGCGGGCTGTAGGCTTAAGTACCTAAGATATGCAGTTGTAGTTGTAGTTGTAGCTTTGCTCTGCAGCAGCACTGTCATCAGTTATTTCCAGTCCTTCTCTAGGACAACTCCGCATCGTAGGCAGAGAGTACTTCAAGCCAAAGTGTTTAAGTTAAGTTGATCCAAAGAAAAAAAAATAAAAAGATCGGAACACGCCGACCAGCTGAATGAGAAGAGTTAAAAATGTTTCCGGGTGGCGTCTTCGCGAGAAGCTAGAATATGCCACTGGTGACACAGGGTAAGGCTAGCTTTGCAGGATGAGTAGACCGGACATGCAGCTGAGCTGTATGTGTAGGTATGTATGTTATGTGTGTGTGTGTGTATGTGTGTACCTTAAGGTACGTCAGGAATTCGTGTTGTACCTGAGAAAAAGGACGACGCAAGGCAGAAAAATAAATGAATAAAATCGGCACTTAAGGTGTGTTATTGGTTACCTATCGAGATAAGAAGCAGGTGTCGACAGGGACGACGAGATCTGCAAACCCTGACACATGGGTGCGGGACGTGGGTTGCGGCGATAAGAGGTGGACATTCACTATCAAGTTACGTAGTCATAGGATATGGTAAACAAAGTTGAATAATTCTTATGTATGTGTAGTAGTTTCGTCGTGAGTACCTGACTTATACAAGACAGTCGACAGATGTAGACACTTGTAATATTGTAGAAGCGTGAGACTACCTAACCTAAATAGAAACCGACGAGAGTAACGAAAAAAGAACTATTAAATCAGCATTGAATTATAATATCGCTCTCTCTCTCTCTCCTTCCGAGTGAGGACATGTTACCTAGATCGTGGGGAAGACAATGATGGGTTCAGAAGTAAGAGCTAAAGAGGTTCATGGTAAGACGATGGTTCACACGGTAAACTCTTAACAATTCAATAGTATTAGTCTAAGAGAGAGCCAGTTTGAAGAGATGCTCGTATGTTATAAAATGCTAGAGCTTCAATGATACATAACTATTACATATGCGTCATGAAGGCCAATTTCGAAATCTTGGCAACAGTTCCTCATTGAAAATCAACTTCACATATTAATAACGTACCTTTCTTCCTCCTTACAAATTTATAATTCCCCAAGAGCCATCACATCTATCTGCCTATCTATCTATCTATCTTTCTATCTAATCAAATCAAGCATCAACATTCTATCCGTTCAAATTAGGATTAGGACCGAATAGAAGTAAAGGCAATCGCAGCTAAATGAAGCTAAAGCTACCAGGATCAAGGATCAAGAAAATCCCAACTCGAACCCAATGAGACATCCTTGACCGCCCACACCGCAGACCGCCATGCCACGCTTTGATTGGACGGATAAGTTGTAACCCACAATACATACAACATCCCGAGGCTTCTCGTTATCAATCAACCAACCCGTTATCTCTACCTCATAAGCTAACCAGCCCAAGCCCAGCTTCATCGGCAACCTACATGCTTGAAAGTTGCAGCTCGAATAGGCAGGCCAGTACCCAGTAACTCTACATTAAAAAAAAAAAAAAAAAAAAAGAAAGCAACCCTCGCTCAACTCCGAAGACAGAATACTAAAGCGGAATCGGCCGCCTTCACATAGGTACATAGTAAAAAAAAAAAAAAGCCTCGGATAAATGGTTTAATATTAGATCTGCAGCTCGAAGATCTACATACAGGACCAAAAGCTTATTCGCAACCCCATCCTTGGCATCCGGTATTGGGTTCAGCTGAAAACCAACCATGTAACTAGGTAAGTAGTAAAAATCGACAAAGAGATCCTTCATTCCTTCATACCATTGGCTGTCGCTGACGTACAGATTCCTTAAACCAAACGTGAGATGATTCCCACCGTCTGGAATAGATTACCGCATCCTGCGTGCCAAACCCAAACACATACACGTGAGACGAGACGAAAAAAAAGAGTCAGACTCGAGTCGTATGTAGGAATAAATAAATACATACATACATCGACCCGGCCGCCGGCCACCGCAGCATGTTGAACGAAGGAGGCAAAGCGGTGGCATTAGCTATAGCCCAAAACAACATGGTCAATCCCTGTCTAGCTCTATACCATCCATAGTATAAAATACGTAAAGAGCCATAGGTATGTAGGTAGGTAGACATAAAGCACCAACGAGTACAGACTTATTCAATATGTCGACATAACTACCTACCTTAGGTACCTATGCCGGAAGCCATACTAAGGCATATCCACATTACCTAGTCTGTACCATCTCGGAATCCGGAAAGCTCGTGCTTCGTCCACGTTGCAAGACGGCGGAAACACGCAGCCCATCCTCGCGGGACGTACTACCCTCCACCCTCCTCCTCCCCGCTCTCCCGTGTGACAGCAAGCCTGGATCTTTCCGGGCCGCCGCGCTATATCACCTAAGTAGGTACCTAAGGTATATATGCCTGCCGCCTTCTACTGCCAGACCGCTACGTCTGAACATCTTGTGCCAAAGCCGCTATCCGCCCCTCGGACAAGGAGTATCCCTGGCCCGGGCGACAAACAGGATGGATGGGCAGCGTCTAATTCAACTGCCTAGGTCTACATCGCAATCCGAGGGAAACGGGTCATGAACGCTAAGTCAATATTATTGCTTATTGAGACGGTTTTTGTCGCGATTGCTATTTTTAATATACTCCCGTTTGTAATATCCTCGCGATTATGCCTCCGCTCCCTCTTTACCAACCTATTGGAAGATTACGCCTGGCATGCGGACCTTTATCGAGGTATGTGGCCACCGCCAGCAACGCAATTATCCCGCCAAGTTTATCCTCCCAGTCTCTGCGGAGCGTGGATAGGATCGGGCGGAACCGATCAGGCGTATGATAGGCGCAAAGCGCTATCTCGGTCTCGGGCGCGTAAAAGCCACTCTTGCCCCAGCCTACTATCCAGAGTTCGCCCTTCTTGTCGCGGATAAAACTTCCTGGATCTAGTTGCATGTTCCCAAGGACGAGCTCGTTTACCGTTATTCTGTTAAGCAGCGGGTTTGACTGTCCTTGTATAGCATTGATTGCGGCAATAAATAATCTCAGATAACCCTCGTATTGCTGTTTCTTAAAAACAGTCGGGGGGGTGAAGTGTGGGTGGATGAGCACTTGGAGGCGATTTAGTCCTAACGGACCGGGATGCGGTGAGGTATTCTTTTGCATTAGCTTGATTAATGAAGAGATTTGTACGGATATGCTGTTCTGCCTGCGAATTGAAAGATGAGGCCAGATCTTGTATAGGTTGGAGCCTTCGACGTAGTCCATGATGATGAAGATATGCTTCGTGCGAAGGTCGCGGAAGACCTTGTGGACCTTGGGGACGTGCTCTCTCAGTCCATCTATCCCCTGGATAAACCACATCATGTCCGCCTCGGCCTGAGAAACACTTGGGCCCTACTTGGCTACCAGGTCAGGGGAGATGCGTGATATACAGTTTCGCGTTGTTTCCTGAAAGTACAAGACCGGAGAGCGGTGCCAGTTGGTGATAACCGTAGAGAGAATATGGTCAGGTATTTTCACGATTTGTTCCGTGGTATACTTCCTAAACGGATACGGAAACGTCCATTCGATACTTGCCAGCTAAAACGGGGTTAACTAGGTAGGTAGCTAACAACAAGCAAATGGTGGTACGAAACTCACATCACAAATCATGAGTTGGTCATCCTCACGGCGATGGTTATTAGAGGCAGTCCAACGAGATGGTATGAACACTGCTGGACATTGAACAATAGCTGGTTTCCAATGGCGCCAGCCCGGCGGGAGCTCGAACCAAGTAAACGGGAGAATCGGCTTAGGCGGTAAAACATCAGGGGGGAGGTTATATAAACGCGGAGGCCTGCTATGGTAGAAATAATCGGAATCATATTCGTCTTCTTCCATCGTGTCTTAGTCTGTTGTTGTTTAACTATTCGGTCAACACAATAGTATACTGATATGAGAATGATGCTCTGGGCTTTTCGAGAGCGGAGCAAGCGAAAGAACTTGATAAGCTTGAGATGATATTGATGAGTTGATCATGAAAACTTAGGAAGCAGTAGAGTAAAGTTACTGGAAACCTACCTAGGCACCTGGTATCTACCTAGGTATTCAGAGAGCAACACAGCGCCTTCTCTGGACTTATCTTAACTCTAAGCGAATACTTACCGTGTCTTACCTTACTATCACTACCGTCCCTACCTTCTCACATCGAGTCTAAGAAAGACCCATCTCGGCCCTCCTAAAGCCATGCAGGAGCCAGTCCAGTAAACAACGATAATTTTTTCACATAGTTAGTCTCATGTTCTCTCGAGTCTCATGTTCTCTCCTAAGATATCTCTTCCGGTAGCATATCCGTTGGGTTGTTCTCTCAGAAGTATATAAATAGAAGTATTTTAGTAAGTCGACGCGGAGAGGGAGGGTGAAGTTTATCAACCACTTCTACATATGGAGTAGTATTCGGTGGAATTATCGGTGAGGAAAGATAATTCTAGGTGGTTACCTATATAACTACTCGTCGTTACCGTCTCATTTGCAACTTACTACTATTAGAGTTTACGGTAGTTAATGTAAGTTGAGATTTCTATAAGTCAAGTAGTAGTAAGCCCGGAGACGGAAAGTTCGATTTAGTTGACTTCGATTAGTTGAAGCAATGTTACATACATGCGATAGTGGATACCTTAGGTACATAACCTACCTAATTTACGTCGTATCTTCGATTACATAACACACACTAGACTGTATTTATCGTATCTAAATTCCAATAGCCTGGACTGGGATGGATCGGG